TCATGGACATCGCACAATATTGTGTGAAAATTGGAGACAGCTTCTTGCACAGAAGCACTATGAAAAGAAAGAAATTTCTTTGCAAGCACGAATTGGGTTTTCTCAAATTTGATGGTGCCCTAATCAGCTCGATTTTCAATTCTTTACCATAGCAATCCTGCTGCTGCAGCCATTTTGCCACTTGCGTGTGGCCCGGCAGAGGCGCAATTGCTTCCGGGCGTCACAATCTTGAAATCATAAATAGCCGAAATAATGCTAGGCACGGTGAATATTCGCAATATCAATTTTGTTTTCCAAAATTACTAAAGTAATGCAATCATTTTCGGTTCTTATGGTCTGGAAAATCGGATTTTTTTCTACCGATCGTTTGCATTGTTTGATGTTTGCCTTCCTGATTTTTACCGTGGATTTGTCCATGAATTTTGCGACCAGGTTGGAAGGCGAAGGTAAAGGCCAGGGAGATTGCTACCTTGCCCTGGCAGGAGGGCCCAGTTGAAAACATATAATCCAATAACTTATCAAATATACGCTAAAGTATTATAGTTTATATGATATATTTGTATATTATATTCAGGAATGTGCTATCGGCATGGTGCCTCAGATCTCTCGAACAAGGGACCGAGCTTAGCGCAATTCTGGATGGATTTGGGCTGGATTCTGAATGGATTTGTGCTGGTTTGGAATGATGTCTGGGCGTCCTGTCACCCCTGCCGCCGTGCCCGCCCTTGGCTGGCTGCAGGCAACTTGGTGGGTCGCACTCGCGTCGCATGCGGTATGTTGCCATTGCGCTGTTGATTTTGACCTCCAGATTTTTGATTTACAATCATCACTGGGAGACCGTCGAACTGTGCAATTCTATGCTGACACTGGCTTGTACATATACGGTGCTTACGGGTGGCCGTGGCATCTGTCGCTTGCTGCGCGACCGCCTACATGACACATCGGCGTGGACAACATCGGTTTGGTGCCGTCGCATATCTGGCCACGATCGATTCGGACATAGAGTGGGGACAGACGGCAGGTGTTCCTCGGAATCCGCATGCAGAGCATCTCAGCCAACAGATGAGATGCCAGACATTGCACACGAGCCTGATGGTGACGACGATGATTTCAATCCTTCAGAGCAAAGACCTCAACGGTGGGATATCAGCCGACGCCCGGGCCGTGTTGCAGAGCATCGATGAATCGGTCCTCAACATCGCTGAATAATCCATGGCTTGGAAAACGGTCAATCCCAACGGCTGGCGTCCCTTCAACGCTTTGGGCTTTTCAGGAGCTCGGGCTGCGTGGCAACGGATCAGCCCGGAAAATTTGAAACATGGTCAAGAGCAATTGCAACAAAGCCCATGTACTTGTTTCCGGATCAGGGCCTCAATACGGAGGCGCTGCTGGACAGGATCGGCCAGTGCCTCGACTACCTGCAGAGGGTGGCTGTCCGCGCTTTCTACCAATTCTGGCGCAACGCTCTACGATCTGTGGCATTGACCTGTGTCCTGCTCGCCATCCGCCACAAAGGCTGCTACAGGTGACAAGGAATTTGTAGAAAATGATCGATGAGATCTGCAACAGAACCGGGCGGCAGCGAGTGCCACTGTCGTGGCCGATCACAGAGAATGTGCTCTGTTGTTGCATGAAAATCATTGATACGATTGAATGGAAGCCAGACCCATGCTCCCTATTGACGGCCAAGAAGGAAAAAAAGGTCCGTGGTTTGTCGGTTTCTCAATTTGTTCATTTATTGATCTATCGGTTTTGGTTTTGAGGATCGTATTGTTCCATTGTTGGAAATAGCGGGCCGACCCTAATTAGTTAATATTGAATAGAATTAAAAAGATTTACAGTAGATTAAAATATATAATTAAACATTATATTATATATTTAATGATTTGGGTAAATTATTTTGTTATTTTTAATTATATTTAATATATATATATTTATAATCATCCTGTTATATATAGAATATGGAATTAAAAATTCCGATCATTTTTGTTAATGAATTTTTTGAAAATCCAAATGGATACATAAAATATAAAAATATTAATTTCGAGCTTTCAAATCAACCAAATGTTAGAAGCATAGAATATAATTCCTCTCAATTATCCTTTTCTTTTCCTGTTTTTCCTTTTCTTGTCCATGTCTTTCCTCAATTCTCCACGAACAAATAGAAACAACAACATTCTAAATGCCCTTTTCTCCAATTTCGTAATGCACGATCGCGAGATTTTATTGGTTTCGATCCTATAGTTCCTTATTCCTCCTATTTGCATCTTCAAGGATATTGCAAGTCAAGTGATCCAATACCTTTTTAATATATTTCTATATATTAAATTTATTTAAATCGTAAAGATCTTTTATATTCATTAAAAAATTATCCTGGAATTTAACCTTTATTATATCCTTATATAAATAATATTTAATTATATATATAAAAAATTATATATATTTATATTTACATAATAAAATAAATATATAAATAAATACGGTCAGAAATCCTAATATATATCATTCCATATTGCAACGAAAATAATATAAACCCTATAAATCAAAATATTCATCCTAATATTATATATCATATAAATGATTCATTTAATTTCAAATACAATCCCCAAATAAATCCTAACATAATACATAAATATATACATATTTTTGTTCGCCTTTATCATACCAAACAGATATATAAAATACATCAACAATATAAAAATCTAATCCAAAAACGTCATAAGCTCCAAAAACGAAAGCTCCAAAAAAAGCACCTCGAATATATTTAGCCGCTAAATTGAACGGTAAAACAGTAGGTGCCCCTATACATCCCTATCCTATAAACCACCAAAGGTTTATTTAACAAGAGTCGAAGAAACTATTCTTATCTATTACTTCTTCTTCTTGCTTTATTCTTTCATCTTGTTCTTGGTCTGTCTTGTTTTCTGTTTCTTTTTCTTCTCCTCCTTCTCCTTTCCTTCTTCTGCTTCTTTGCTTTGTCCTCCTTCTTCCTGTCTTCTTTCTGTTTTGTATTTTTCCTGCTTGCTCTTCTTCTTCTTCTCCTCCTACTTCTGCTTTCGTTTTTTTTGCTCCATGGACCACCTCCGGGAAAACCACACCTGTGATCCAAGGGCTTGGATCACACACCCACCTTTTGATCCATACCCCATGGATCGAGGTATGGATCGTGTGTGGGTTTTGGTGTGTGATCCATCATTTAGATCCTTCATGAACAACTCTCTTAAAACATAAAATGGATCGATTTATTTAACGAACCATAGAATGGTATTCTATGCGTGATGAATTGGTCATATTATTTGTTAATATTAGTGTAACATCATTGGATGACACATTGCAACAGTAATCCTATATTTTTGTAAACAGGGTTAGGTTTCATTGATTGGTCTGCAAAGTGGCTGACTCTGTCTATTTCGGGAATGGCCAGGTAACATCAGGTAACAAGTAGCAGGATTTGCCTTCCGCATTTGTTGAACATTGATGTGAAGACCCATAGCCTCCCGCAGCCCCACCACCATCATAGTACATCCGAGCTTGCTTCCAACACGGATGCAGAGGCAGTGCCAGAGCCTTTTGAAAACCACTATCAAAGGGCCGTTGCCAGCATTCGCAGCAATCGGCATTCGTGCTAGCCATTATTAGTTCCCCAGACAGGTCTTCACTTCTGTTTGCCTTCAACTTGGTGTAAAACCAACCTTTAGTATTCGCATGCATCCACATCTGAGAAGCAACTTACTCACATGACATGTAGGGAAGCTTCCTAATGGCAGCAGTGCTAGAGGTAAAAAAAACCGCCCCAAGTGCGGCCGTCCTGCGCTTTCGGGGATACACACCCCCTTTCAGCAAAGGACTTCTGCAAAGTGTTCAGAGCTACACACACCTTGATGCATCTTGGATCGATTCACATGGTTGCTCCACTTTGCCGCCGCGGGACTATACCCTCAGATGATGGCCGAAGCCTTTTCTGAGATGGTCAGTGGCACATCCACAGCAGCAAGGCAAGTGAGAGGAAGATCGCCTGGCAAAAACAATGATCAGTACCCATCCTACCCATCCGGCCACTTCTTTCGGAACCCACTCTTGATCGAAAAAGAACCCGCGCATTCCCGAAAAAGAGCCAGTGCAACCAGGGCATCTATAAGGCTGTATATCTGCTGTTCTCTCATGTCCTTCTGTGGTTCTTGTTTCATTCAGTGCTTAGGCTCAGCAAGCTGTCAATGCCCTAGGTCGCCCCACCGACAAGGCAAAGCAGTAGAGATTGACAAACCTAGCAAGATTCGGAGAAACCGGCTTCATCTCGGTCAAAGAAAACGATTTTGGACAACGACGTTAAAGACATCCAAAGGCCTTAAGAGGCCCTAAGAGGTGTCTTTTTTTTTCGAAAGCAAGCGGGACCAGAGAGGCGCTTTGCCTAGCGTCTTAGCGTATGGGTTTTGGCAGTCTTGGCCTTAGAGCCAAACACACGGCTCTATTGGACACAAAGAGATAAGGCAATTGCAAGGAAGAGATATCAAGTTGATTCAAGTTGTGACGAACCCAACCTAATTCCTTCAGTGTACACTTGATGGTGCATATCCTGCAGTGTACATGCCACTCATGCCACTCGTGCCACAACAATGCCTCAGCGCACTTGGTTTTACGGTCTCTTTTTGGAGTCTCGCCTGAGGTGAAAACACAGCCTGACATCTTCACCAAAAGTGTCTCACCATGCGTAGATCATCAAAAAGAAACCTCACGCATCAGTCACAGCGGCATCTGCATGTCACGGTATGTCACGGTATTCTCTGCCCGACTGAAGAGTTCTCGGCTGAGAACTGTGCTCCTTGCGACTTCATCCCATCTCGGTGGAGTTTCGCAGCTCTGCGGTGGCGGAAAAGCGCGTTTCAGCCGCCGCAGACGTGGCGCGTAGTTCTGCGCGGTTCAGCGAGACGCCGCCGCCGCGAGCCGCTCGATCGACTCGCGCTCGTCGAGCTGCTCGTGTTGCATCGCTCCTGGAGTTCCTCTCACGAGAGAACGAGATCCACGGCGAGAGGCCAGTGATCTGAAGGCCAAGTAGAAGAGACCATAGATGGCAACGGCTTCCCTGGCTCCTCAAGCTGTGCCATATGCCAACAGTTTATCCAATAGTGAAGCTTGGCTAGTTCAGCAAAAGCATGCAAAAGCAAGACACGGTCAAAGGTCAAAGAAGAAACAGAACAAGCTAACAATGTGACAAAAGTTACGGCTCATTGTGGTCGCCCCCCCAAAAAGCATCAAAAAGCTCCCCCCAAAATGCCTCTGTCGACATGTATACGACATTGTACGACCTATGAAAGCTCCCATGTTCATCGATCTATGCTACTACGCATGGCTATCGCAGTCCTTCTCGAAGTCTGCCACCTTTGGCAGTCGAAGCCGTCGTGAAGGACGGAATTCTGGACCTGAAAGCTCGCGTCGGGACGCAGCGATTTCGCCCGGGTAAAACACGGTAAAACAAGGTAAAACCAGTAGGCCCCGGTAGAAAGTGATAGGCATGGATTTGCTACCAGATTCTTGGTCATTTTCTGGCAAAGCGGACATGGTGCAAAGTCTCTCCGAGTTCCGCTAATCGAATGTATGACGACTCTACGACGCAGCTCTTGCGGTGGTTGGCTTGTCATCGACCGAAACGTCTCGTGTCTTGCGTCTCGGGTCTCGGGGATCCAAGTGACTCAACCAAATGTAGTCGATGCAGCCATGAAAACCTCGGTTGGTGCGACGGTAGCAGAAAACACCTCTGAGATGCTTCAACATATTCTGGCAAGCAATTGGCTGGTTTTGGGCAACTCGCTGGGTGAATACCCACAAAGGGAACTGAAGGGTCTTCCTGAGAGGGTTCAATCATGTTGAATCTATTGTCGATGAGAATGCGTAGGTTTGATCCAAGGACGTGGACTGGAGTCGTCCCCCCCGAGAGGCACATGGATCGATCGCGATCTCCGTCGACCGGCCACGTGCCAAATCAGGTTCCAACGTGTTTGTTCCGGCTCACTCGCGGGTGGCAAGCCGTGGCGCGGACTTTGGAAAGCAACAAAATGAGTCAAAATTCTGCTCCTAGTACGGCCAGGAGCTCCGTTCGTAGCGTCCGATCGCTCCGTTCGTTGCGATGCCAGGAGCCCCGTTCGTAGCTTCTTGTTACTAGTATACTAGTAGAGTCAAAATGGTTTCCCATGCCAAGCAACCATACTTTGAATTGCTGACAGCACCATCTTCTTCTACATCCTGGGCTTTCAATGGTATCAAAAGAAAGTGACTCCAGCCCAAGGCGTGCAAAAGGCTAGGGCTAGTGGGGCAGAGACTTTTTTTTCAGTCCCAGGATACTTCATCTTTCACACCAATGCCAAATGCACTACATTACACACCAACAAGGTGTGTGGAATCGCCCTTTTGAAGACCTTCAGCACTTTGTAGAATCTCAGAAGTAGAAGCATCAAACAGAGTTAGTTGACTAGCTCAATGAGAAGCAATCGTGAAACGTTTGGATGAGCATGGATTGATGCGCTCGGAAATATATGGATCGTTGTGTGAAAGGTCTTCTCTCGACCTTGTCGATGTCACCCAGTGAAACCGGTCACCCCAGGTCATCATGTTTGGCCAAAATCTGCCGCTGGGAGTTTCTGCTAGAGTTTTTGCTTCTTCTGCACCCCTTTCTGCTAGAGTGAATGCAAAGGAATGTGTGAATGTGGGCCACATATTTACTGGTAGTAACAAGAAGCTAGTAGTAACAGGTGCCACGCTACTAGTAACAGGTGCCTTACTAGTAGTAACAAGAAGCTAGTAGTGAGTGAGTGGATGGGTGTGATCGTGCGCAAACGTCGAGAGTAACTGGAAGTATGGTTGGAACGATGGGGACGTTCACGTTGCCATTTTTCCACTTCCAAGCCCTCAAATCGGACCTGCGAGTGACTGCATCCTAAAGATAATCGTCAGTTTGCATCTCAAAGAGAATCAGGACATGTCCAGGTTCTTCCAATCTGAGCGTCCCAAAGAGGATGAAACAAAGGAAAGACTCGTTACTCGTTTCTTTCAATATCTGAAAAAAACATCACCTCACCCAACAAAACAAATGTTGGCAATCAGTGCGTACTTCAACAGCTTCAAGCAATATGGTCCGTGCTATTGGGACAGTACGGGACCTAAGCGGCTCGGATGGCGTCCAACAGCTCAGCGTCTTCAAAGGCAGAGCGAAGGCTCCAGGGATGTTCAAGACCTCGGCTTCAGCCGGAGACGGGTGGATTTGCCGCGGCTGAAGAGCCGTGAACACACTCAGCTGGAACTAACATGGAATTGGATGGCATGATCCCTTGGAAGATCAGTTTCCTCTACAAACATGTTCTTTTTCTTGCACTTCCATGTTAGGTCCAGGGAGAGTTATTCTGGCGATCAAAACCAAGTGAGAAGTGAGAAGCCTCATGAAGCCTCTCATGGACCTCCAACATAATCATCAAACCTGCAAAGTGAACGGAAACAGGTTCTTACAAACATATATTAATATATATATATATATATTCGTGTTGATGACCAAAGGTCTGGAATGCAGCCCGACTTATACTGCTGTGTGCCAGTCATAGCCCGTCCCAACAACTACTCCCTGCCCGGAACCTGCTCTCCGTGTGGATCCCTCGCCAAGGAGCGCCCACCGCCATCACGCAGGAACCGCGCAGAGGAGAAGGCCTCGGCCTCACGACACGAACGTCGCACCGAAACCGCATCGCTCGAGGAGGCGAAAAGGAGGGTTTCACACCCGCATCGCTCGCGAAGGACGCACACTCGACATCCAACTCATTCTCTGCAGCTTCATTGAATTTACCAACTTACTTCTCAAAACCGTCTTCGGTCTCATCCCACCCTCATCCCACCCCCCCGTCTCCAGTCGGTGCGGCTCCTTGTCGGGGCGAGATTCAGTTGGCACACCTCGCGACGCGCAGCGTCGACTTCGGCGGAACGCGCGACAGCGGATGCGACAGCGTCGTGTGACGCCGGTGCCAGCGACGGTGTGATGCTTCATGATGCTGCAGTATTCATTTACTGGCAGTATGTATGACTAACTTCATGACTGGCATGGATGCTTAATCGATTGCCCAACAGTATTTCTGACTGTGCTTCATGACGCTTTCGGTGTGGGCATTGCAATGGAGTGTCAGTCTGAACCTCAACGACTCCCCCCCGAGGCGTCACACCGGCGCCGGTCGCCTTCGCCGAGTTCGGCGGCGTCGCTGGGCGTCGCCCGCTTCAACTCTTCGACGAGGTTCACCAGATTCTCCACCTCTGTGGGGGTCCGAAGATCAATGGAGATGGAGCTTTGGTCTGTTTGAAGTAGAAAGAAAGAGAAAAGCATTCTGTCCTGTGTTCCTCATGTTTTCTCATCACCCCAGACCTCCATTCCAGGCACTTCAACAAATTCAAACACTTTTCTTCTTCCAGACTTGGGCCAACAACAGTTAACGTCCAGCCTGCAGCCGAGCTCGTGCAGATGCACTACCCAGGTCATGGGAGAACCAGTAAATCTGCCCACAAAGAGTACCTGTGGCTAGGCAATTTCTGCGAAAAACATATCAAAACAACGGTTTCCATTTGACATCCACGAACCAACGGTTTTTTCGCACCCACAAAGAGCTTTGCGCCTTGATAATTGTAGAACAAAGTAATTAACGGTATATATAGAACATGGCTGGTGAGCTGCCTCTCTGCATCTACCATTCAAAAGGCAAAACTTGTTTCGTGAGAAGTCTCTGAAACGTGTCCGTTAAACTTGATCTGCGAAGGCACAAGTGAAGAGAGGAATTCCATTCGCCGGTGCTCCGAAGGCCGTTGCGCGATCTTGCTCCTGGGTCAACAAGGACATCGTCCAACACCGTCGTCCACAACAGCTGGAAGGACACAGCTCCTTCTCGTTACTCGCCAAGGGGAGCACCAGGCCTGGGCAGTTTCTGAGCACCAGGTGTTTCACTGATACATGATATAAAGGAACCCACCGTTCCGGAATCATCTGTTTCGCCACCAGACCGTGGTGTTTCTGACCGGAAAACCCCGTCTCTCTCGCCGAATCGGTTCCTCCACTCGCCCATATGGACCCCACGCCGCCACACACTTGACGCCGCTCGGTGGCCATTGCACTTCACACAGCGAGTGAAGAAGCGCTCTGGGCCCAGGTCGACAGCCAGATCCTGGGACACAGCCAGGAAGCTGCTGGGATGGTGGATGATGGTGGATGGCAAAATAACAGCTCAGCTTCCTGACAAAGTGAATCCCCTAGGTAGGCCTATATCTACTTTGAACATCTATATTGCTTGGAGAAGCATATGCATCAATCCAACCTTGCAAGTGCCTTAACACTGATCCACTTGTTTCCCCAACCAAGCATCAATGCAAAGCTTCGCAAGGGACAGTTCAAACTCTCTGGCATCAATAAAGTACGCCAAGGCGGCATCGGCACGATTCACTAGCCTGACCAAGCGAGTAGATGATTGGCGCGACCGGGATCGACCGGGTATGGGCTCAAATGTTTGCTTGCCGGTACCTGAAACATACAGCTTTGCAAAGGATCAATTGCGGTCAAGAACTTGTCAGGCTTCGACATAGGGGTAGACATGCGCATATACATTCGGGGAGAAAGGACTGAAGAGTTGAACATATCCTAGAATCCGAGTTTCTAACGACGTTCCTGGAAACTTGGAAACGACACGACTCAAATGCCAATTCGGCACAATTCGGGACTGACCCCACAGCTCCAGGACCCTCCACTTTAGACCGCTGGGCTTAAAGGAAAACCGTCTGCTGGGAGATGTTCCGCCTACATGTTCACCGGTTTCAGAGTGGTTTCAGAATGTTTCAGAGGTTCGATGGCACAAGTTACCCCAAGTTCGGTGGTTTAGATGGACCCTCATCTGTCTAAGACATCTTGGGGTGCCAGTGCCATCTACTCTGAAACCACTGTAATACTACAGCATGCCCCGCAACCCACTGAAATTGTCTACCGAGTGGGAAAAGTCTGTCAGGAGTTGTCCCTACTCGACTTAAGGTCGAATGGCGCTACTTTTGGCGCGCTTGGTTTTAGGCTGAACTGCATCGTCGTACTTGAAACATTGCTTTTGAACAACTCGGATGATGTTGATAATTACATATCAGGCACATTATTCTTCAACTTATTCTTCAACTTCTTCTTCTTCTTCATTTCTCAATCAAACATGACGGTATGAACATGTATGAACCAAAAAACAACATCAGCTTCACCACTGCGGTCACCACCCACGGTGCGCACACCACTTGCCTCTTGGAGGCCGACACCAAGACTCGCGCTTCGCGGGCAGCACGAGTGACCACCGGGACGCGGGCCTGTAGATCAGTGGCCGGCCACCGGGACCGAGCAGGATTTCTATTTTTCGGTGGGACCATTAGAAGAGCTACTGCATTTAGAATAGCTACTATAGATTGGGTCTATCCTATTACCAGGGCCCAGTGGATGATGATAGTTAGTAAAGGCTTGGTTCAAAAATGGTGATAATTGTTTACTGACTGTTACAGGTAATAGGACAAAGCCTAACTATAGTCTAGAATAGCTACTGTAAGCATTAGATGTGTTTCAATATTGTCATGAATTTCTGTTTCTACAAAAACGCCAGTGCCACACACGGCTGATCGTTTTTGTTGGAATGCAAGAAAAAACACCGCCCTGTTCTTGGAGTATACCCTCAGAATATTCCATGTCATCTTCCTTGGCCCAAGGACAACATCATATGCAAACGCAACTAAGTGGCAACGTGTGAGCAAAGCTGAGATCATTGAGCTGTTTGGGGCTCTGCAAATAGATGTATCACCACTATAGCTTTTGCAACAGAATCGGTACTGAGAGGCCCTGCCGATTGATTGTCCAATGCCGAGCCGCGATCCGCAAACCAAGGGCTGCCTCTGGTCGTTCTTCACGTTCCTCCGGGCTTTCAACTGAGACGTCCAGGCCTTGGGAAAATACAAAAAAGGAAGAAGGAGCTCAGATGTGAACGTTGGGGAACACCAAAATTGCAGGGTTATAGCATGTTATCAATATATCCTTCCAGAAAGTGGTAGTATCCGAACCAGCTCAGAAAGTGCAGAGAACAACAATGACTTTAAGACAAAAGCATGAAAACCCATGTGATCAAACACCTCAGATGTAGCATTAGTAGCGGATGGTGCATGTCGGTGGCGGAATAGGGTACATAATGGCACGTAGATCATGAAGAGTTGGTGTATGTACAACATAATCACAACTTTCAGCTTCGATCCCAGCTGACCTAAGAATTGAAGACCCATATACATAATTGGTGCATGCGTTCCCTTCATGTAACTAGTCCTTCAAGTTCTGCACATAAAACAATCAAGTAACTTGCCTCAGCAGGATTCTCTAGTTCTGAGTTCAATTTCGAAGCACAACCCAACAAGTCTGAACATGCAGGAGAGACTTCAGTCGGTCCGCATGGGAGACCCCACGCGCTTGATTGAGCCTTAGAACACCTTGAGCCTTGGAGATTAAAAATAACTGATGGGTATTCCAAAAATTCTCAAATCTCTTACAAGAAATGACAGCAGCGGTGCAATAGGATATCCAATCACTCCAAACCGAAAGAAGATCTGTAAACGACCAACTGCACAGTCGCACAGTCAAGACACCGAGCAATCGCAAAGGCTTGGCAGCCTTGGAAATGTCCCGATCCACCAAGAAGCGTTCCACCTCGGGCTCGGCCGCCGGAGTGGGTTCGATCGCCAAAAAGGAAGGGTACCAAGCTATGAACTGAATCGAAAAGAATCCAAGGATCCGGAGATCAAAACACTTTGATAAAATCCGCCATCAGATTAAACTCGCTAAAGACATCTAAAGACTGTTTTTTGTGGGAACCAACACCTGGAGGGAACTTGGTTGTGGCAAACACTGGTCGCCATAGAACATCAGACGAACATGAGTGTCGAGACTGAATGCGATAAGCCATCATCATGAGCTTCGAACATTTACACTTCGCTCGTGTCCAAGGCAATTAGAGATTCAAACCACAACAGCGACCAAGGCATGGAAAGCGACCAAGGCTTGTGAGAAAGGATAATTGTAATATGTGTGTACATAATTAATATTAATATTGCGATAGTTGGGTTCCAAGACATAAAACCATGAAGACCGTGCTTGTTAATTTTTGTGCTGCCGCTAGTTTGTAAAGTTATTAGCGGCCGGGCTCATTAAGCCAAACCACATTGCGGAACTTCCGCGGGACCTCCAACGAGCCATGCCTCAAAAATTTGTAAGCGTCGCCAGAAGAAAGCATGTTGAGATCACCACCTGAAAGCATATCGGCCGAAGAAAGCAACAATACAAATTGTTATACCATAAATCATCATCAAACATCTACGGAATCAAATGTGACTTATTTGACTGGATACTTGCTCTCGTCTATTCTTGTGAACATCCCCTGTGAGTGTAGTATTTGTGTTTCCTTTTAAAGATAGCACAAACGCACAGAAGCAAGAGGCACACAGCCCAGGAACACAGCGCCAAGGGCTTCTGGCATCCAAAGCGAGTAGCTGCATGCTCCAGCAAGACTTGCAACCTGGGCAAGAGTCAATCGAAGCAGGAAAGCAAGATATTGATAGTTGCAGGAAGATAAGTCTTGTGCTGCTATCGATAAAGTATATAGATCTGTACAGAATTCTTTGAATGTTCCTGCATGCAAAGTTCATCTGTTCCACCGATTGGCTGCCATGATCTGACATCTTCATGTTCGCTTCCCCAGTAGAGGTGGGTGGTCGCAAGCAGGAAGCGTCTTCCTTCCAAGTCCTCAGCTCACAAGTGCCAGCTCCTGCTGATCAGCCCCTTGGATTTCAAGACCCATCATCATGATAAAACCTCGCCTGAGACTTATGCAACTAGCATACCTACCTCTCAATACATCTTATGCTGTAACAAGCTGTAACTAGCATATATTAGCAACCCTTCATTAAAAGAAAACGCTTGGCGCTTTGCTGCAACTCTTGCTGCTGATTTGCGAGCTCCACCACCAGTGCCTTGGATCTCTCGACATGTCATGTAGCTCGACGAGCCAGCCTCTGAGACGCTCCGGCGCCGGATGAGAAACCAAGCTGCGACATTCTTCCGGGCAAACCGCGAATGCCTCAGTCCGAGCGAAGTAAAACTAGAATGGACTTACTACGACCTCCAAACACACCCTTCCTCAGAACTAACCAAAAAGCTTGAGCTTCATTGGGACAATCTTATGACAAGCGGCACACTAAGTGGCAACTGCTGCATCGCCAAGCAATCATCAAAACTCAAAGACAGCGTGTCAACACACCTGGTGCAGCCAATAAGTTGAACAAACACGAAGAAAGATCCTCAACAAAAAGGATGTACAAGTCGTTCCACTTGCATGTTTATGCCTCAGGATGGGAGAAAGTTCAAGGTCAAGATCACGACTTCTGACGACATCTCAGTCTTTGCTTTCTGCTTTTTTCTTAGGAGCAAAGGGCGTCGCTACTAGGAGCAAGGATGCCACTAGGGGCTCCTGGCCTTACTACTAGTAACAATAAAGCTACTAGTAACAAGTGCATCGCTTCTAGTAACAAGTGCATCGCTACTAGTAACAAGTGCCTTACTAGTAGTAACAAGAAGCTACTAGGGCTCCTGGCCTTACTACTAGTAACAATAAAGCTACTGCTTTTTCCTGTGTCGAGTCCGCCCGGGCATTCGGTCCGCTCCACCCGCCGCCTGAGCCGTGAACGGAGCCACCCGATCAAGCAACCATCGGCACGGCCGGGCCGCTGGGCGAAGGCCGTGGCATATCCGAGGCCTGGAGCAAGGCCCCACCGGTCAAGTGGTGTTCCCCCCAAAATCATGCGCAGAAACTGGACTTAATACCCAAAGCTATCTAAAACTAGTATGGATACATATGTAAGGATCAAAAAACGTCCTGCCTACCAAGTGAGCTTGCCACTCCTCCAAGCCCTCGATCTCCTGGTGTGGCAAAAAAAATCCGTTCAGAAGATATCCAACAGTTTGTTTTACCATATGTTGGGATGTTTTGGGTCTATCCTACTACCAGCCCAGTGGATGATGATGGTTTGTAAAGGCCTTGTTCAAACATAGTGATGACAAGTTTTTTTGACTGTTACAGGTAAGAGGACAGACCCAAACCATGCGTGTACTTCAAGCTTGCTTTAAACCCATGGGTTTTGGTCTGAATCAGCTCTTGGTTCAATGATGTTCAATGTGTGGATGTCAGAAAACTGCATGATTGGACAAGTACAACAACCAATAAACATTTAAAGCATCCTGAAGGCAAATGGCATCTGCGTTGAGGAGTGAAATCACCTCATACCTGGGCGACCACGTTTCCGTTCAGCGGTCGTATTCTCGACAGCACGCCAGACGGGGCGACCCCCATAGTCTGTCTATGGTCTTTTTGGCCCCTATGACATCAGTGCACCTTGCAGTGCTGCGCAAAAACAGCACTCAATCATGTTCATTCTCGAAATGGCCGGCTTTCGGCCATTCTTTTAATCTCCTTGAACAACTTTGCTCATTGGCGGCCTAGAACCACACACAATATCTTGAAGCCCAAGTCACAACAGCTTTCGTCGGTGTGAGATCTTCAAGTACTCCTCAGATTGAGTCAAGGACAACAAAAGTGTGGGGAGAAACGTCCGAAAGGAAATCGAAAGAACACCTGCCTGAAAACAGCCCAAAAAAACTAACCATGGTCAATTCGTGCTAGGTCATGTCAATTGTCAGGATATCTTCCATAGCGATTCTTCTTCTTTCACAATGTTTCACATCTGCCTAGACTCGGGCTTCACATCTGGAAAGGACTTCTGTAAGGCATAGCTCGGGGCCAGCACCTTCGCCGAGCAAGGGCAAAGACAGTGAGCAAAACCGGGAAAGACCGACACATGGTTTCAGCTTTCAGGCAGAGAAGGGCCAGCTTCGGCTTTGCGGCTTTCCATCATCCTGAACACGTGGATATATAAGTTGAAATATATTCCAGGAAGCACAAAGGGGCCAAAGGGGTGCCTATTGGAGGATAGGGGTGCTCATTATCCACTCACTCAGGGACTGAATACCACCCCGTTGTGACCGGTCTCAAACAGCTTTCAACATCGACCGACAGCGGGGCGCATTCCAGGTGCAAATGCGCAGTTCCGGGAGGTGATTCGAAGCGCGTATCTCAGACTCAAATTCCAGAGGGACGTCGAACCTCGGGCTTGGGAAGAAGACCCCTTCAGATCCTTTAGAGTTCGGACTGGATTTGACATGTGAACTGCGAACAAACTGCAAATCTTCTGGATTGCAAAACCAAAATGTGGTCCAAGTGGCAGCTTTGGCTTGTGCACGCTTTTGCGCAGCAGCAGGGGAGGATCATCCGAGCTGGTGAATCAAACAATCTTGGGTAAACCACTTCTGACAGCTTGCTTCGAGGTCTTTTAGGCCTTGGCCTCTACTCTACAAGACTCTACAAGTATCCGTATTCTATCTATTATAAGTATTCATATCTCTTACAAAATGCCGAGGGACCTGAAAACACTTGGCGTGAACGGCTGGTGGAGAATCACTGAGGATGCGAAGCTTCGACGAGAACCACGTCCACGGTGTCCTATCTTTTAGCTGTGTAAAATATCAAATATCCCTAGTAGATCCTCGTACTGTACATTGAAAAAGGAACAACCACCGTACTCTCGTCCTTTTGAAATCCTTGCAAGTCGCCGTCGCCCGTCGTCGCCTTCGTCGCGAGTCGGGCGATCTACCGAGTGGCCCAGGGAGGTTTGCAGGCCCAGTTCTCGCAGGGCGCTCGGATCCATCCATCCGGTCACGTCCCGCGACGCGGAGTCGCGTTGCGAAGATCATGGGGAACAATGACACACGCCCTCTGCTTCTTGGTACTTCCTGGCCTGAAAATGGATGCTTTTTGCTTCTGAAGGTGTTTAAATGTCCCACTTCAATTGGCGATTCTTGATCTCGTTTTGAACCAGGCAAGCTTTTGGGGCTGACGAATCTTTAGCTGCAAATCCAAGTATGTCTCCGTGTTCGCCAGCAACTGCACTACAGCCGAAAGGCCTTCAACACGTCAGACTCGACTCGACATGTCTTTCTCGACCAAGGGGATCCCTCCTCCGCCTGTAGCTCTCATCTTCTGTAATCAATCTTATGTATAATGTTGTAATTATTCATGGTGGAGTCTACCACAGAACTCACTCTCTTGACATGCCAAATATTGCCAAATGCCAATACCACCATGTCTTCCTTGAACTGCAGGACCCCCACGTCGACATTTCCACCCTGAGGTCTTTGCCGTCACGAGACAACGCAGCACCTCGAGCCCGAGCCGGTCAAAAAGAGTCTTCCAGGATCATACCACTTTTCCCTGCTGGTGGTGCGAGTTGCTACTGGATTTATTTACTGTCTCGTACTGGAATGTCATGCATAGGTCCGTGATGGTGCAGCAGGTTGGAGGCCATCGCTGGTAGGTTGGAGGCCATCGCTATCAGGTTGGAGGCCACCGCTAGTAGTGGGTTGATGGTGCCTGTCTGCTACTAAGTCTATTGTTGGCCTCATGGCGTTCTGTCGCTTGCATTTCGCTGATCGTTTGTTGTCTGGAAGTGATCTCTGGCAGCATGTGAACGTCTATGGCTGTCATTGTCATGTCATGCGATTTGGCGATGTCTATAGCTCGTGCGTTGGGCCATTCATGTTTGGCGATGTACTTTTTCAATGTTGTGCTAGAGAACAGGAAAAGGAGGCCGCTAAGTTGGAAATCCAAAGTGGGGTGCTGTGAGGGACCATGCGCTGGGGTAGGAGCTGCAGCAAAGCTCCAAAGAGTTTGTTTGGGAATCAAACCTCCATTGTACGAGGTGATAGTCAAACTGAGATGCAAATCAAAAGAGTGAAGATCCCGTCATATCCCGTCCCGAAGTTCTTGCCCACACGATGTCGACGACGCTCTGCTTCAATGTATATACTGTGACGAGCAAGGACTCTACTACAAACTCCTGGCATCGCTACTAGGAGCAAGGACGCTACTAGGGCTCCTGGCCTTATTACTAGGTGCAAGAAGCTACTAGGAACAAGGACGCTACTAGGTGCTGTATCTTAATCCGTCATGGTCCAAGGGTCTGTCATGACCGTCTAAAGCTGGACGTCCTGAGGCTCGGACAACTCCTGCTTCACGATGGAATCAGAGATGTGCCGGGCAACTGGATTCGATTGTTGAGCTCCTCGTGAACGCCGTTTTCGAGCGTCGGGTCGCATGTCTATAAACTTGACGCCGGAAAAAGCGTATTTGATGCATATTTGTGCGATGGAGAAAAAACAAACATTATAGGACGGATTCATTGAATGGCCAAATATAGGTCCAGCGCGTGTGAGTGAGGGTGGTCCAATATAACCCGCGGTGAATGCCTTCTTTCCGCATCACGTGTCACGTGTCACCGTCACCCTCTCCTGCAGGATCTCCGGTGGCGACGGTGGACTGAGTCATGGTCACCTCATCCTTTTTGATCGGGGGCTTTTCAGGTGGCATCACCACGGCCGCAGCGTGCTTGGGCATCACGTTCAGGGCCGAATTTCCTGACAAGCTTGGGTGGGTGGTGCAAACACAGTACGTAATTAACATTAATTAACTGCGGTGCGTTTTTGGGGGCTGGTACGCGGTTTCCGGTACCCCCCCGTGTATTTTGTGATCCAGGACAAACATGATGAACAAACATGGCTGGGCGTGCCTTTGATGATGCCCGAGTTTCCTGAAAAGCATGCTGCTTCACACTCTCTCAGCCATGAACATGTGAAAGTATTGTGAAGCACCAACCAAGTCTAGCCTTTGAAGATCTCGCTGCCGCCAGCAGTGCTCTCTTTACTCCGCTGTCGTTCCCGCTGATGGATATATTGGATCTCTTGGTCAATGACCTGGCACGGGGCACGGGGCAAATGTCGACGGATTTGTCGATAACTATAGTGGTTTTTCAGTGTCGGAGTTTGTTTCTCAAAACTTAGGATAGTCCAAGATGCTGCGGAAGAGACATATATGATAATTTAAATTTAGATGAATGTGGAGTCTTGTTGACCTATCCATTGACCTTCTATCCATTTCGGAAAGCCTGTCGTTCTTTGACTCAAGTATCTCGTGCGCAGAACTGCCTTGGTTGCCATGTCCATCTTGTCTCCGCCTCGGTGTTGCCGCCGGATCCGCAAAAGTTTCGAGGATTCTCACGGATCAAAGCTTCGAGCGAACAAACTGCTTGAACTCATCGAAACTGATCCGATTGTCCTCAAGAGTGCAAACCAAGAAGTGGAAAAAACATGCAACCTGATGCAACCTGGCAGGACTAATCATTGGCCTATTTACACTTTTAGACTGAATCCTTACAAGAATGGTTCAATAATGTTCAATCCCAAAAGGTCTAGTTGAATGGATACATGAAAATGATGTCGAGTCCAGCCCAGCTCAAAGTTGACTGGTTCGACCCGCCAAATCTCACGATGCATGAGGGTCCTTCAAGAGGTCAGCCTCTGCAAGAAGCTTCTCCACTTGCTCCCCTTCGAAAGTATCTCCCAACACCTGCCCGGAGACTTCTGGCTTCCGTTTTCGGCCAACATCTTGACAACACCCCGCAGGAAAGTACTGCCGTTGTAGCCTGTTTTGCTGACGATTGACTACTGTATTCATGGTTACTAGTTACTAGGCCTTATATTAATTAATATACACCCAGCGCAGCCAATGGCAACAGCCTCAAAAAACACATTTAGCAAAAAACAATCCAAATAATAGTTTTTTTTTTTTTTTAAATTTATTTATCCCATGCACATCATGTCAACGTGCATCACGCGGATTCACGTCGGACTCGGGTGTGGCACATCTCGAAGGTTATCCACCGTGATGTACCCCGAACCTCAGCGCGGTTTCGGAGCGGCCGTCTTCGCCCGAAGACGTCTTCGCGCGTCGACCGGACCGGCGGATCGAGCGGTGCGGAGATCGGAGAGAGAGCGAGCGCTCGCTTCCGCGGTCCCGACTGTCCACGTCGAACTTCTTGAAGGTTGCCTCGCTTCGGAGTTCGGAAACGAACTGGGAACCGAAGGGACGGAGGTCGCCCAAAGTTTGGACGGACTTCGCTGGTTTTGGGCGGCTGCTCCTCATGCTCTCAGTTTCGGCAACTGATTCATCAAGAAAGGTCGGGGTCTCTAATCCGATCATGTTTTGAGCAGGAATTGGTCTTGCTATAAAACTGTCCTGAGCAGGACCTCACTATACACAGAAACTTCGGCTATGTCTGATAACCGGGGGCGGGGCCTGCAACAGATGGTCGTGCACCGAAATTCGTGTGCTCACCTCGGTTCAGAGCTACGATGATCTCTGACCAAACCCCTCATCTTGTTGGAATCGTGACTCAATTTGACCAACAAACATATATTGTTTAAAGATCTGAAGAAAACGGTAAAAAAGCATCATCCTGACTCGACTTGACTTAAACTGATGTTGGGATCTTCTCCTTTCTTTGACAGGGATCATGCAAACAACACTTCGACTCAACAGGCTTATCACTCGCAAAGCAAACCTTTGTAGCAATACTCCCCAGAATGGATTGATATACCTGGACCATCCACGGGGTGTCCAATAGACTACCCTGCTCTGCTTGTAGGATCTTATAGGGATCTCCATTAAACACCCATTGGATGGTCCTGGTATAGATCTGGTTGAATTTGCCTCGAAACTGACCTAGCAGCTACGAGAGTCTCACCATGGCAGCTAGGAAGTCCGAATAGTGAATCTCCTCGGCGAGGAATGCAGTTGATTGGAGAGGCGATGCACCAAATTGAACAGTTGGACCATGATGAACCACATGTGATTCTTGCTGCAATGGAGCTGGATTCCGACTGCAAGTCGTCTTTGAGATATGAAAAACATGCAGAAAGCTGCCATCGACGAACGAAGAGAAAGTAGGAACACCAAATTGAACTAGGAACACTTGTTACTAGTAGCGAACCTTGTTACTACTAGTAAGGCACCTGTTTCTAGAAGCGATGCACTTGTTCCTAGTAGCGTGGCACTTGTTCCTACTTTTCGACGAATGTGTGCCGATGTTCCAAGTAACCAAGTCACATCGATGAACCACGCGGTCCGCACGCGGTCCGCGTGTGTGATCTCTCCTCGTCGTGGTTGGTGTCCAGAGCATCAAAAATTTCCATGGTCTCCTGGCACCAATTCAGATATCATACGACCTTCCTGTCGGGGTGCGAAAACTGGAGATCCACAAGTAGGGCTAAGTAGGGGCTTCCATTGGTGACCCCGACAGGGAGGTGCTGGTATGATTTGTGTTTTGCCACAATTAGTGAAACAGAATATCTGGCCCTTCTGGCTGTGATGCAGCACACAACCTGATCAGCAGCGTTCACATCATCTGTGCTTGGGTGACCTAAGAACCTCAGATTACAACTGGGAAACCTAAGATTTGGGTGACCCCAACGTGCTTCACTGCATGCGAGAACAGTTAGAACATGTTAGAACCAGCAACTGGTTTCTTGGATCTGATGCCCTTCTACTATGATCATCAGCCTATACCCTTCTGTCCACAGAGTCGGTCGTGCCTCGTTGGAGATATGCAACTTCTCTTCCAGGACCTGGCAGGTTGCAAGGCTGCTGGTAATCGCCGTGTGTGCTGCAACTTGCGGCAAAACAGGGGAAAAAACGGAAAACGCAACTCAAGGATCGACATCTTCTTTTTGGCTCCTCCTGGATTGCTGGAACAGTACACCCTGTCTGTTTGACTATATCGTGTTTCCCAACATCTGAGTTGAAATCTCCTTGAAGACTTGATACAGTGAGGCACAACGCCCCGCCCCTCCCCTCGGCGCTCGAGAAATCGGCTTGGCACAACGAACGAACGCACGAAACGTTCACAGACTCTTCCGGTCACGTAGACTATTGATTAATAACCCCCACAGTTGAATTGGAACATCCTCTTCATATTGAACGGTTTATTTGATCAAGAGTCTAATGGCCTTTGAAGTAGTCTTCATCTAACGGTAGTGGTTTCTTGTCGTACGTTCCATCAGGCTTTCCATCAGATGTCGCTCGCGTGCCGAGCGGAAAAAAGGCGACCTCGTCACTCAACTGCTGTTACGAAAGAAGCGTCGCCAGAAAACATCCGGTGACAATGATGTGTAACGGCGGTCCAAATGACGGTCCAAACAGTCGACAGTCAGGCGCGTGGTCGATCGGCGGCGGTATCGGCGGCGCCTGCTTGAGATCTCGAAGCTTAATGGTTCCTTGCCTCAGGTCGATCGGTGGCATTACGCCTAAGTAGGGCATCCTTACTGACCAACCCGAAGGCTGTGTTCGAGGGACCTTTAATAGGTCCGACTTAGAAGGCTGTGTTCCGGCGCCCCAACTATTTGGCGTATGTGAGAAAATCTTGTACCAAGGACTCCGCTGTGACTTGTCAAGCGCAAGGAACTCCTTGCGCACCTGGCAAGTCAGTGATGGCCCTCACAGGAAGGGCCACACAAGTGTGACATGGGGTGATCACATGGACGTCCTGTTTCTGCCTTTCTCAGCTCCAAAACCCCGCCTGTGCACGGTCGTCATTGCTCAGAGACCACGCCATCATTTCCAAGCAACATCTTCGAAACCTGGGCAAAACAAGGGAGCGAGCTCAGGTTGAGTCCAATCATGTCCAATCCAATCAGCACCTGAAAAGGACACAGTGACACAAAAAAAGAACATGGTGATGTATCGATGTCAGATTACGTGTGAGTAGCATGCCCATGTTGTTCCAACACATCAATGACACCACCCCAAGTCGGCCGCATGCCCGGTGCCCGGTGCCTCCGTGGCTCGCTGGTCCGGTCCGCTGGGCTTCCCAGGCTTCGAGGAGTGAGCGAAGGTTCGGAGGGCCTCCACCTTGGCAGAGGCCATCGCTGTTAGAAACTAACATCATGAAACAAGTGCATCGCTACTAGTTAACAAGTGCATTATGGCATTACTACTAAGTAGTAACACGTGCATTATATTATATACTAAGTAACAGAGAAAAAAATGATAATGCCAGGTCTTGAGAATATATTAATTGTTTGCTATTGGGTTGGAGGCCATGGCTCTTAGGTTCGGAGGGCCTCCGGCATTTTTCCGATGCGAAGGGCGCGGTGTTTGGATGGCGAGTCAGACTCTGGTCTGCGGCAGTCTGGACTCGGCGGAGAAGAACTCGGCATTTAACCCGAAGCCCTGCATCTGCTGCTGCAGAATGGCCTCATTCGGCCTAATTGCTCCACAGACTTTTGAGTACAGTCATTGGCCTTGTCCGTAGATCCTTTGTCGTATACATTGTAGCTTTATGTACGGTTCTTATTGGTTATGCATCTTGTACATTGTCATGCAGTTTTGCAGCTTCAACACGCATCCACCAGCTCGTGCTAAATGGTGCCGAAGGTACCACTCCCTTGTCGAGATCCATGTCAGCATGCCTGCCAGCAAGTCGTGCACCAAGCAGTCGTCACCATGCTTCACCACCTAAACTCGAAGCCCTTGTGAGGGGTGTGAATATTGCTGTGGTGTCTGCTTTGTGGCTTTACGCAATCTGATTGCACATCACTCTGAGAGTCGCTGAGACAGTGAGACCCCATCATGCTGTGAGTTGTCGATGAGACGGTGAACCACCACATCTTTTTTCGCAAGAAACACAACCACATATATGCAAAACACGCACGCACACACACGTCACGACGAAGGCATGGACAACATTTCTACTCAAAACACAGAGAAACTATCAGTAGCTATCAAGTCCTTGAACATCTGTCATTCATCTTTGGCCATGATGTGAATAGCGCGACTTCTGGTCCCTGTCCGTGAGGATGACACGCACAAATCGAGAAGTGTACCATGATGTGAATAAATCGAATCGGTGAACCCCTTCGAGTCGAGGTCCTATCAGGAAAGAGCTCGGCCATGCTCTGCCCTCTGCCTCTGGGCAATCCAGGGATGCTGAAGTGCTTGTCCAGCCGTGAGCCGCTTGGCAGGATCGACCTGACGAACCCACCGTGGATCCATGGTCACTTGCAACAAGTACCAAACGCCAAACAAGTTGCACTTCCTGAACATGAGGGAACCTAAGAGACATTCAAGCATCATGAACAAGTCATGAACCTGTCACATCAACTTCCAGAATGCCAGTTGCATCACTAGTTGCATCATGTTGCATCATGTTGCGCTTCCTTTCCCAAAGCCGTTTCAGATCTTTCAAAAGCCAACAATCCCACGCTTTCGAACGCGGCGGCGCTTTCCGTCGCATGCGAACGCTGGGCCGTGTTGAACCACGCGCGTTCGTGTGCCTCAAGCATGGCTTTCACGAACCTGGGCCGGCGATGAACCGTGCCCGACCGGGTTGAGCATGGTGAACTCGTGGAAGCCAACGATGGTGTTTTGCCAAAAGCATCCCGGAGCTACAAATTGTTGCCAAGTCGGATTCACCTGGAGGCCATCGCCAGTAGGTTGGAGGCCATCGCTATAGTAGGTTGGAGGCCATTGCTAGCACGTTGGAGGCCATCGCTCTTAGGTTGGAGGCCCTCTGGTGATTACAATCGAACTCCTGCACCGTGCTGCATTCCGAAACTCAGTGGTGTTTTCATACCAACTGGGCGCCTAACTATCTCAAGCCACATGGAACATGAGACATCCTTCAGTGCTTCTTTTATACATGTTATACCTGCCAGTCATTATAACTGCATACATTTCGTACGTCCTAATAAAAGCCAGTTTACCTCTGGGCACCTCACTGTCGACCCTCCAAAGAAATTGGAGTCCATCGTTCTGGCTTCAAGACATAGTGCCTGGCCACCATCGGACGGAAGCGATCGTCCGACCAAGCACGGACGAGAGTCTCGAGAGTTGTCCAGTGGTGATGTGGTGCCCCAAAAACCATGAACATATCAGTCACACCATGCCATGTCACACCGAGCCAACAAAAAAAACATGATTTCAACCAGTTATAGCAACAAGTCATAAACAAAAACAAAACTCAACAACTTACAGTATACTATCCTCTTCTTCGCCCCTTCTCGTTCACCCCTCCTCACTCCACAAAAGGGTGATCGCCCGGTCCCACCCGGTGGAGATGTTCCGGGTCTGCACCGCTTCGGAGCCGCTGAAGGGCATGTAGCCCGAAAGGAGCACGAAGGCAATGACCTCACGGGGTCGCGGCGTTCGCATCGCGGTGATCGGGAGAGACATGTTGGGAGGTTGGGGCGTTCGCAGAACGTTTGGGAGCGGATGAGAAGCAAAAGCAACCCGCCGGGCAGGACACATTGAAGAATGAACCGAGTAAACTTAAAAAAAGGATCAACGCATTGAACGCATGCCTGTATACTAGGTCAGGACCGGTCAGGAGTGCCTGTGTTCAATGTGTTTTTCCACAAGTTCAGAAGCGGAACATCCTGAGTTCAGCAACTCCAAGGCTCCACATGTCGCATTGGTTCGTATAGGCTTTCTTCAACACCTGCCAACGGGAGGTCGTTCTTTTTTTGTACCCGACGCACCGGGCACGAGGCACGAGGCCCCGTGGTGTGGAGGAAACAGCTTTGTTGTTACTATAGTAAGGCCAGGAGTCCCGAACGTAGCATCCTTGCTCCTAGTAGTAAGGCCAGGAGCCCCGAACGTAGGGGGAGTTGTTTGGCCCTTTTCGTGAAGTGAGCCCTGGGCTGACCCTGCAATTTGGCAATGTTTGATGGAAGCTTCATACATGATTAGTTAGTAGACAGACCAGCATGGGTGGGGCCAAACAACACCCAGCCCCAATCCTGCTGCCCATGATGTCCTCCAAACAGTTTGTTTTTTCTTAGATGTTTTAACATCTCGTGCACCATGTCTGGACTAGAATCAGCAACTCCAGAGCAACCAAGATTGAACCCTATTAAGTTGATTGATACCAGGAGTTTCCAGAGCTTTCGAGAAACTGATCTGGTTTGATCCACGATCTTTCACCCCAAATCTACTGTAGACATCTTAAACATTCTCAAAGTACTTCTGGACTCCAGAGTCAGTGTTTGACAAAGTGTTTGGTGAGGACCTAGATTATGTATGGAGGTCCGACCAAACTGAAATTATCTTACCACGCAGTTCCGTCCAGTTCACCTCTGGAGCATTCTGGAGCAACGTAGGCCAAAGGGCCGCAACTCATTGTTTTGCTATTAGGTTGGAGGCCATCGCTATTAGGTTAGAGGCCATCGCTTCTAGGTTAGAGGCCATCGCTACTAGGTTGGAGGCCATGCTATTTCGCCATTAGGTCGGAGGCCCGGAGGCCATCGCTACTAGGTTGGATGCCATCACTATTAGGTTTATGTAAACATGCACTGTCCAGTTCACCTCTGGAGCAACGTAGGCCAAAGTGCCGCAACTCACGTGCATTTTGATGTTGGGGTCCCACCTGAAAACCGCCCACGATCTTGTGTCCCGGCCGATGCTGGGTGAAACATGAAAACCAAATGAAAGCAGCACTACACCAAGTGACACTTTGCTGAAGCCGAAATCGATCAACTTCAACTGGTCGCTATCTTTGGCTTCGTACCTGCATCTGCTACAAACACGCGAAGGGAACTTCTCTCTGTATAATGAAAGCGAATGTAAGCGGAGTTGGGTTTTCAGGAAACGCTGGGGTTCCATTATATGGTTCCCTGAAACCCCTTCCAATTCGGCTCACAGGAAATTCTCCAGCTTCAGATCGCGATGAACAATGCCTTGGTCAAGGGCATGTCAAGGCATCGAAACATGATCCACATCCGTACTCCTGCACCCGCACGCTGATGCCTTCACTCAATGATCTATACGCACGCACGCAAATCGCACTCTTTGCACCCGAAATACCAGGAAAAACTCACGCGTCATCCAGAAAAAAAACACTGGTCTTTATTCCAGGCATGGAATGACTTTCTTGCTCAACTTGAGAAAAGTCAGGAATTAGTCGTAAGAATGCTCCTAGTAGTAAGGCCAGGAGCCCCTAGTAGCGTCCTTGCTCCTAATTGCTGAACAAACCATGCCCTTTCGATGTGTGGAATCAACTCGGTGCACGGAGTTAACGGGAGTTTAGCTTTCAGCCTTCGGTGCCGAAGGGGTGCCTTCCGCCAGTTTTGCCTGCCTTTCTTTTTCACACACACCGATACACCATCTCATAATGCTATAGAAGCTCTTCTCATGTGACCTGTAGTATTCTGGACAAGGCATACATGCACACACGAAGCCATCGTGTCTCTCGCTTCAGGTCCCACTTGGCACAGCACCATGACTGTGGATGTAATTCAAAGCCAAAAGCATTTGCTCCACCGCGTTTGCAGCCTCGGTCCGATCATCAGACGACTAGAGCGACGGACTACTTACGTACGTCGACGTCGATGCCTTTTGCCACTGAACATGCTGGGAACGTACTCAAACAAACATGAAGCAACCATAAGCAACCACTAAAAGAAAAAAAAACTGTGGTGATCCTCTTCAACATGGCTTGATCCAAAGGAATCCAGTTAGAAACACTGGATGAATCAACTGTGACCTGCATTCATCGAGGTGGGTGCAGCGTTACGCTGTCAGAAGTGGCGAGACTTCAAATTGAGTACCGAGAGAGGCTAACTAACCAAGTAACCAACTAACTGACTATAACTAACTAACTAGCTAACTAACTAACCTCTTGCAGCTGCAAGGCTGAGGTTCCCCCAAAGGACCCCCCTTACGACTGGCGTGAAGGCTTTAAGACGAAGGCTTCGCCGGCACAAAGCATCGAAAAACTCCACGACCACGACCACGGACGAGTTTCGTGCTCGCACAGCACACCCGAAACCCGAAACCAACGGCTCCGAACTGCTTTTGGGTTCGCAGAGTCGACCAAACAACCAACGGCTCCGAAACAAAGGTTCCCTTCAAACAACATATGCAGACATCTTTCCGACTTCTGTCGTCCAAAAGAGACCAAGTGACGGTACTTTTCTCGAACGTGATGCAAAGTGATCCGGGTCCAAACCCAAGAGCCGGTTTCAGCCTGGTACTGTAGGTTTCAGCCTGGTTGACCATGGTTGACCTCCCCGAGACTCGTCCAATCAGTCGATGTCCGACGGACCGCCGAGAACTCGGACCGCCGTTACCCGGCGTTCCTCGGCCCAAGGGGCATCGAGCTCCGTGAACTTCTTCAGCTTCGTGACTCGATCAAAGAGCTCCCCGCCCTGAGGACGGAGGGTTCGCTTAGGCGAAGAAAGGTGAAAAGTCCTTGCTTAGACTAGCAAGACTGGTTTGAAAGTTCCTGGTTTGACATAGATTTTCGTTTGGTTTGCGGTGTTGACCTGTATTCGTTGGTCTCGAGTGTGACCTTGGAGCCGCTGGTCCAAGCTTGTCCAGTTAAGCACGGAGTTTTCCTGAATGTTTCTGGTAGCCTTTTGAAGGCCAGTGTGCTGTTGGAGCTTGCGACAGGCTGCTGCCTGTGGCAGTGACTACATCTGATAATCATGATATACAGTATACAAACAAAAAACAGCCCTCCTGTATGACTACTTAGTATGATCTTAACAAACCTTAACAGGTTGTCCGGATCTGCCTGGCCTTCCTGCTAGTGGCATCTATTGGCCTACTCGCGTGGAGTGGTGAGTAACGTGCGGCCGCACGTGCGGCCGCACCACCTTTTAAAGCCCCCTGTTGAATCACAAAAGAACGCAGAAGCTATCAACAGCAAAGCCCCATGCAGTTCCTGCATAGCATCGCATCATTCAAACTCCGTGAAAGCAAAGTACACTGGTGTCTAGACGTCCAAAGTTTTCAAGACAAACAAACCGACTGAAACCCAGTGGGACGCGTCTACCATTGCCAGTCGTAGGCCACACGTCGACACGTCTACCACTGCCCGTGTTTCCCACTGGTCTCCAGTGTCTTGTCTACTTCGCTCTGCCGACCTCCATGCACTCCATGACCAGGTACAGCTTGTCATCAGCTTCGTAGACATCAAACAGTCTCGTGACGTGGGGGTGGTCCTCGGTCGGTACGGTACGGTACGGTCGTCGCGGTCGTCTCGGCGCGAGACGGTGGCGTCACCGTCTCGCGCCCGGTCCTCACGGTTGTGCAAAGCCCTGCTGTGTTCGACAGTAAGGCCCAAGCCATGCAAAGGTAAATGCCCACTTCACTTTCCAGTTGTGCCTTCACATTCGATTCAGAACAATCTGGAGCTCTGGGTCACAGTATTTAGATAGAATGAAGTATGTACTGGAGAAAAGCGTATCATGCAAACTTCCTTGCATGCCGAACTGACAACGGATGTGAAACTCTAAATGATCTCATGGATGATGCCGACAGTACTGGTAGCAATATTGAAAGCGGCTAGGGCAACACTCAACATGAGAACCGTTGCAGAATTGCCAGTGCCCTGGCGACTTCTTGTCCCGTTCACACTTGGACGTGTAGTTGGACGTGGACAACACCAACGCCATGGTTCGAGGGCGCAAAACAAAAGAATATGTAATAAGTCATTCTGTCGAATGATGTTGCGTTATGTGTTATGTGTCATTTTCTTTATAGTAGTCAGTTCTATTTCTATGGTTTAATATCTGAATTGCTCTTCCAATTTTAATTGTTTCTATGTTCTTTCGGCTCGTAGCTGCGAGGCGACCGCGACCGCTCTCGCGCGGCAGGCGTCAACGCCTTCTTGTCGCGCTTCAGGTTGCCGACCTTGAATGCCTGGCGCGTCCGGCCACGAGGCTTCGATCCGAAGACCCGGCCGACGGATCGTAGCGCCTTGACGGCGCGCACGCGCCTTGACGGCGAATCTGTAGCTTTCGTCATCCAAGGAAGTGGCCAACTGTACAACCTTGGACAGTGAGACAGCCGGCTTCGCAGCCGGACCAGGATGGTCAGGACCATTGTATAGTCTAAACGTGGGGAGAAAGGTCTGCCAACTTCGTTTTGATATTAAAGGATCTGAAGTTCATCTGGTCTGGTGGACATAAGGCCAGAACTCCATTGTAGCCACTCCCAAGGACCACGTCGTGGGTCTGCGACCAATCAATCAAATCAATCTGCATTCGTTGATTTTTGGTTCCTCGGGTGGATTCTGGCAGCCTTGTAATCGTCTTCGATTCGTCGAGGAAGCTTATGATACCTGGCGGAATCGGTCGAGGTCACCGTGGTCACCACCGGCCCGCCCGCCGGCCTGCCCGAAACAACAATTGGGCCCATGTGCTCCTGAAGTGTACAAAAGGCAGTTAGTTTCTACATGGTGACAACAAAGCGGGTGAAAGATTCTTTAACTCTCACAACACAAGAATCTGAGGCCCTGAACGGACAGTTTGTAGGCCCCCTGTGCAATTTCTCCTCCTTGTGTCAGCAAAGAAAATACACCAACACACTAGAGGAAACTCGGCTGATCGCCAACTCTGAACATGAAAAACAACTTCCAGTGTGGAGCAAAACAAACAAATACATTCAACTGATCTTCTTTTTTGCTGTGCTTCCGATCCCCTCACTGAGTCCGCCACCTTTCTTGCTTGATTTGTTCCCCATGAGCAAAACAGTTCTGAGCAAACTCAAAAAACGGGCGTCCAACGCCGCTTTGCGGCCCTGCAACGGTGGTGTGCCGAATCCTTTGGGAGGCCAGCTCCGCTTGGGGAGACTCGCGTTCTTCTGGGTGGAGCTGGAGCTTTGGCTGGCCTCCCTGGGATTCGTCTCCCAAAAGGATCTACAGTGCTGTAAGCCGATATCTGCGCAAGGCCAGGCAGCTTGGAACCTCCTGCTTTCCATGGATTACATTGCCTGTGTGCGCTATCGATCACTGTGACTCTTCGTCAACTCAGTGGGATACAAGGACGTCCGTCTGAGACACACGAGTTGATCCTTTTTCCTGCCCGAAAGGACGCACGTTGATCGGTTTCGTTTAAAAACGTGGACGTTCTTTTACCGACATGGCATATCTGAACATAAAAGGGAGCATGGCTTGAGGAACACTTCTCCATCTGTCTGTCACTTCTCCAACAACAAACTCCCATTCTTCCAGCTCGATGGAGCTGCATTTCTGCTTTTCAGAGTTCCCCAGGAAGAACCCTGGAAGATAAACATTAAATTCATATTCTTTCTGGATATATTCAGAATAGATATAATGTGGATATGATCAAGATAATTCAAGGATATTGATATGTCATGATATGTTTACATATGTTTACAATACACCAATACGTCCGACATGTCTGCCCACAAAGGAATGGCCTGTCTGACATGGCTACTACATGGCTACGGAATGCTATGGCTAAGGACTCACTCTGCTCTGCAAGTTTTCAACTACACAGAGACTAAAGCGCCTCAGCGAGCTCTAGCTTTGGTCCTTTTAATAGTCTTGGACAGCTTCGAAGTTTATGCATTGTACAACAGAGTAACAAAGCATGGCATGTCTTGAGTTGGATGCCGAGGCTGGATGAAGGAATCAGCATGAACACGCATGTGCATGCTGAGATCAAGCTAAGCTTCACACATATGGGACAATATCATTTTTTCATCGTGATAGGCCACCTGAGCTTCATTCCCCCAAAGCACGGTCCCTGGTCAATATGGTCCCTGGTCTGAAAGCATGAAGCGCTAAGGGTGTGTCAGTGGGAAGTGGTCAGGAGGTACTGCAACCCGCAGGCGTTCTGACTGAAGCCTGCGCCAGTCAATAGTCGCAGAAAAAACACAAATCTTCACTTAGCAGCTTCGAAAACCCCCATTACTTTTTTGTATAATCCAGGTTTGCTTTCGCAAAGTTTTCGCGGAGCTTTCGCGGCCTGCATTCTGGCTTTCGCGGAAGGTGTGGTGTTATGTGGGGCTTTCGCGGCGGCTTTCGCGGCGATTCGTTTTCGATTGGGAAATTCGATTGGGATATTGTACAATAAAGTGATTGATCTACATATAAGTTATCCGATATGAGTGTCCTTAGGGTGGTCAAAACTGAACAAATTTCTTTCCGGCAACATCCTGGCACAAGGAGTTGTAGCAGCACCGTTCAAGTATTATTGTTGTCATCAGAAGAGGAGGAAAACTTGCTGAAACTTTTTGCTTGGGCCAGATACCTTTCCCTGATATTTTCGACTTTCGCGGTTCTTTCGCGAGGCTTTCGCGCGGCTTTCGCGGAAATTCGTCTGGGCTTTTCGACTTTCCGCTGAAACACTTGCTCTTCAGTGCTGCTGGCTGGCTGGCTGGCTGGCTGGCTGGCTGGCTGGCTGCGGCTGCCTGCATAAAAATATGGTCACCCACATAAACAACACGACATGCACAAGAAATTCGACTTTCACGAAAGCTTTCGCGACGCTGTTCTTCTGGGTTTCTTTCGCGGGGCTTTCGCGAACCTTTCGCGACCTGCGTTTTGGCTTTCGCGAAGGAATGTGAGATTACAGTTTGCACACTTTTCATCATAGAGGTTTTTGAAGCTGCTCACTTGAAGTGTGTCCGCCAAACATACCCGGGGTGTATGACCCTGCAAAAAGAAGCTGCCGTTCAGCTTTTTATCTCCATGATACATCACACAACTTGTTCGAACAATTCTGAACACCAAGAAAACGCGCAGCGGGCGCTGCGCTTCCCTCACTGACTTTTTGAGACCCTTCACATCCCCCAACACCAAAACCATCCAAAACCATCCAAAACCTGCATCATCGATGACCATTCTGTCTCGACCCCAGACATGGCAGCACGGCGGCACTGCTGCACCTGGCCGACTGCGAGCGCCGGAAGTCTTCGAAGCTGAAGGACCGCCGCCTGAGGTCTTCGAAGCGAAGCGCCGTCTCCGTCAGACCCTCTTCACCGCGTCGCGTCGCGAACGGTGTCGGTTCGGAGGGAACGGTTTTGAAACCTCGTCGCGAACGGAAGGAGGGAGCTTCGAGACGATGGATCTTGACGGGAGTGTCTTGAGCCTGAAAAAGAAGGAGTTCCCTGCTGCGTTCGACGAACTAGCAGGCCTGCTAATATGGTACTTTAATTAATAGGGAGGAGAGTCAAACCCAAAACAGAAGCTCAGAATCATTACAAGTTCATAATTACTTATACAGATAGTACAAACATGCCCAGACTCTTAGTAGCAGCAAGACCTTTAAGGGCCTGTATATTTAATTTACATAAGAACGTGTTGTTGTAATGGCTAATTACCTCTCCACCCAGCAGTGCCCTCAGACTCCCGGCAAATGCAATGTCATGGCCGCTGCCGAGGGCTGGATTTGCTCCACCGGGGCTGGCGGCCGGAGACACGGAAGATGGCTGAAGAGGGAAGTCTGCAGTTGATCCCAGAATGCGACACGTCAACGTGTGCAACATGTAACGACGATATACTCGCGTCTGTCTATCTTCTTTTTCTCTCCCTCTCTTGTGGGCCTGTCAGTATGCTTGTCAACCACCCACCACCTTGGCCAAAGGCATAGAAGAGGCGCGAGCACAGGGCTGTTGGGCAATTGCTTTAATCTTTCGACTTTTCATTCTCTACCCGTTTCAGGTCCGCTCGCATGCGGGGCAGGTCACAGCCGTTGACCCTGCTTCTCGGGACTCGGGACGTATCAACTCACTAGGGGACGAGCCCAGCATACAACAAAAACAAAAGCGGTATAGTGTTTCGGCATAGTATTGTATGATAATATATGATAATAAGTAAATATAGTGCCCTTTTTTGACAGGGGGCGTTCTATACCCAAACATCCTTCTTTCATCTCTTTATACTAGTGTTTTGCATTGTTCTTCTCCACCCCCCCTCTCGGCGGCCGCGCTTTCATCCGAGCTCTTGTCGCAGGCATCGTCGAGCCTCGGATGAGTGACGAGCAGGTCACGACGCCGAGTGTCGTGGAGTCTCAGTCTGAGCACGAGCCTCGACAGGGGAAGGGGGGGACGTGAGCTCATCTTCTATAGTCGGTGTTGGGTCACGTGTTTGCTCACATGTTTGCTCGCCATTCTTGGTTGTCCAGTCCAACATCGATGCTTTGGATGGGCCAATAGAGCACAAAGAAACATGCCTTGCTACACGGCTGCGGTTCACTTCTTCGGTCCCCCACTGATGCTTGTTCGCCTGGAAGTCGAATGCTGAATGCCGAACGAGTGTGACTGTTTGCTTCGCTGTCAGGTGGGCTCTAGTCGACTTGATGCTTGGAACTTGGTGCTTTCATCTCACTCCATCTTCATGTAGCTTACAACGACTGATTCTGAGTCAAACTCCAGCGTTTCGCTCGTATTAGGATGGTTCAAAACGTGATCTTCTGGCATTGTTATGCATTGTTCTTCCTGTGATTCTTACTGAGAATCCAACAACATCACGTTCTTGATCCTGAAGCCGGCTTTCTAAGGCCTCGACGAAGAAGTCTTTTCTCTTTCAGTGTGGTTTGATGCTCGCATCAAGATTCATGGACCGCACAAGCGCAAGACCTCCACCCGCTGCAAGGCACCCTGCAGCATCTGTTGCAGCTCCTAGCAAGTGGAACTAGGTCTTCATGAACTGGAATAGTTATATTCCCATATGACACAAATGTTTGTATTTTGGGAGAACGCTCCTTGGAATACACATCTTAGTCTGAAAAAGGCGTCCCCCTATTTCACTTATATCTTAAAACCTGTTTGGCTGGATTAGTTGCAGCCAGGCCCACCGTCCTCCACAGTCGCCGATGGTGGAGCTCGGGCCGAGCCTTCCTGCCGTCTCACCGCGCCGGTCTCAGACGATCCATGCGAAGCGGCGAAGGATTTGAAGAAAGGACAGCAGTGAGAGCAGCCAGCCAAAAGTGATGCTTCAATTCATGTGCAGAATCTAAACTCTCATATGGATCCATATAATGGCAGTCTAGTTACGTTTAGCAGACCCGAGTTTCGTCGGTGCTTCATGTCGATAGCAGGTCCTCCGTGGTCCTCTCTATGCTCCACATCCCGCGAAACCTGCAAAAGACAAGATAGCAGTCCTCCACTTGAGCAGCTCGCTCTGCGGCAACTATCTCCGGCTGTTGTTCCTGTCAACTGCACCAACTTGCAATTGCAAAACAAGGCCAGTCTCAACACCAAATCTGGTCCTCCGATGTGTTCCTTCCTAGATGTTCAGGGGGCAACCCCTTGCTTGATCCATATCAAGTAACAAACACCAAACCACGTCCAGCCCCATCCCACTTGTCCCTCCTCCGCTTTCGCTTGAAGCGTTGCAGACTCAGCCACCAGCTCTTCTTTGGGCTCTTGGACTGTCAAAACCGTCTCCGGGGACGTAGCCAGAAGATTCCACAGGCGCGTCTTCTTCGCGTCCAGCGCGACCGTCGTCCGCGTCTTCGTCGACGACCACGCCACACGACCGGCGACCGCCACAGCGCGACCGTTGTCGGACTCGGCTTCGACGTCCAACAGACGCCGAGCGATGCCTGCGCTCGCGGTGCGTGCCGTGGCCGTGGCGATCTCAGGGGACTCGGTGCGGGTCATCACCAAACGCGCCAAGGCGGAGCGCTGGTCCTCTGGTAAAAAGGGCACCAAGTCACTGACTAAGGTCATCAGCTCCACAGCATCAGTGCTGCTCTTGGGATCTTTCTGATGCAAAACCACCAGACGAGATGCCCATTGGAAGAACTCCGGGTCAGCCACCGGCGATGGCTTGTGCCGCTTCAGGAGCCGCAAGAGGATCCGCAACGAGGACAGCTGCGTCCGGTGCTCCGGGGCCTCGTCGCTCCGTCGCTTGCGCTGTTGTGCTCTCCACAACCTCGAGTGAGGTGTTCGTCTTTGCGTCAGAACTGCCAGGCATCTCCGAACAAATTGTTGATGTGAACGATGGCTTTTTTTGCATATTTTGATGTGCACGATGTTTTTCCAACACATCCTTCTCTATAGCTTTGAGCACACTTTCACAACCCTTTCATGGGCCCGAAAGCTAACGTAAATAGACGAAATAAGTAACGTTTCAATCTCTTCCCGTTCAAACACATCATCCGCCAAGAGGCACATGATACAAGGCCTCTCTCGCCCATAAAGGTGCCGTGCTGCGGTTTTTGGGGAGATGACCCTCGCAAAAGGTCATCAAGGAATCCACGATCTCAGCCCAATCATCGATGCTGAGGCTCCTTTCGGTAGCTCAAACCGAATGGGTTTATATAAGAGAAGGAGGCGGAGGCTGTCGGACCACCGGTTTACAGTGGTAGGCAGTAATAAAATGTAATAAGGCTTATTTAATGTACGTATACTGTAGTATCCACAAACTGGCCTTCAGATTCTTGAGTGCTCCTGGATGGGTTGTGACCCAACTGGTAGCGCTGTAGGCCCCAGCTAATTTGCACCTGAGTCGAGTGCAGCCCAGCATCCACTGCAAGTCGGATAAATACTCAGGCTAGCTTGCGATGGTACTCACCCAAGCTTATGCAATACGGTGTTTTCACTGGTGATTCCTTGTGCAGCTTTCATATGGCACAACACTGAGTCGGATTCATGATGGACCAAATATAACAGTCTGGCCATCTTGCCATGTGAAATCATGACATCTCTCTTGAGCATCAGGCCAGGCCCTTTGTAATGTTCTGCAACACTGGCGGAGTCAGAGGTGGAGCCTCATGCTGCGCTGAAGTTCTTCTAGCCCCAGTGGCGAACTTGTTGCACAATGACATGTTGCAAAAATTAATTGCAACCCCATTGCAACAGAAACAATTAACGTGTCTAAATGCTCTTCAAAAAGCTGGGAAGGATACAAACATGTCATGTGTTCATTGATCTCTCTGTGAACTTCAGCCCAGCACATTTTTTCTCCGCCTTCCAAGAGAAAAGGATAAGAAGAACATTGAATGACCAAGAAGATAATTACTATCCCTCAGTTCCTGCACCACACCGAATCAATATCAATTTCTCACGGAGGGGGGGGTTGGGTGAATGAACACCTACGAATTCACAATGACAATTCACGGGTTATGGGTTGGACATGAACAAGTGGGCTTCAGAAACACCACGTGTCTTTTCACTCCACTTCTCCACTTCATCACCCACATCACCCACCTCTCGCGCCAGTAGGTCTGCAATCGCTGGAGCCAGCCCTTCGTGACTCGACTCAACCCCGCGAAGAGCCAACGACGAAGAAACCACACCGCTTCAGAGCGATTCCCTTCAGAACAAATGGGGTCAACTCACATTCCCTTCGATTTTGATCCCGCATCTATCGCAATAATTTGCCAAATTCAAGAAATATGCATACGGCTGCATACGTATACTCCGGGTGAAGAGGGGTTCCAAATTGAAATCCAAGAGAGTGCTCCCATCAATCATGCGGCTACGATAACTTCATGATACCTCAACAAAACTCGTTGATCTCAGTCCAGGCCTTCCCGTGGCAGCGGATGTGCCGGATAGTGCCTCGAGAGACGTCACGGCCCGTGTTGGATGGTTTTTGTCTTCACGGCGTCACGGCCCAGGTCCAGCAAAAAAACCACATGCGTATTATTGGCTCATATTTGGCATGTTTGCTGCATATAACTATATATAAGCCTCTCTATATATATATATTCATATAATTGTCTGGGGATGTTTCGCTTCTCAAGCAGAGAATCCTTGGCCCACCGGCGACTTAGCATGGGTTGCTAGCATCTTGCAACATGTTTCCAGTACATCCAAATGTACCTTGGAAATCGAAGCACTTGCTGACAAGGGTAATGTTTGGTCAATGTTTGTGAATCGAAGCAAATATCAAAGCACCCTGGAGGATTTGAGAAAACTTGACTTGAGGAGCTGGCTCCCTTTGCACTGGCTGGAGGCTTCAACCTGCATCCGAAAACTGCCGGGAGTGCTCTTGGAATCTCTCAAAGCTTGCGACCGATGCGGTTCTCCTCCAGAATCTACCAGCTTTTTCCGTCTCCTTTCGGGACGTCTGACAGTGTCGCACCCGCCTCAGCCAGGACACCGCCAGGTGCGCCTGCACCGAGAAGCTCGTGGAGCCCACGAGCTGCTCCGTGCAGGAGGCCAAGGCCTCGCACGACCGACCGGAGTGTGCTAACCTGCGGAGCACTCGAGAAGCGAACGATGACCGTCCGGGGGTGAGGTGTTTTTTGGTTGGATGATGTCCAAGTGTTGGCTTGCCTTTTGAACTACCATCCCCACAGGTGAAATTTCTGGGATCCATCTCAAGGTTCAGAGTTTGACATAGCAAATCCCAAAATTGCTGCTTTCAACTGAGAGTTCACATATAATTATCACAAACGAAGTGGTGCTGAAATCATCTATATTACCTTGGGATACCTTAATTCTGTCCTATTACCTACATGTCAATGAACAATGATCACTGTTTTTGAACAAGGCCTATAGCGTATACCCATCATTACAACCCCCCTTTTGATGGACACTGGTGGCGTTGGGAACCGGCATGCGCATCTCGCCTCGACCTGTAGAGCGCTCAGCTCGGGCAAGCGCACCGCCGCATGGATCTGAAGGTGGAGAGAACCGGTGAACGATCGAATCATCTGCAGGTGCCATGGATCTAAGCTGCCCAACTATTGGATCTACTTGGTATAGATGATCTGTGAGTGAAAACCGAAGCTCGAGGGAGCTCCATGTAGCAACTGGGCCATCTGCTGAGATCACTATCAAACATAGTGAGACCTTGTGTATCAGTATCACACACACATGAAATATGGCTTCGAGAGGAAGATGCCATCCACAGGACTCTTGAATCCGGAGGTGTGTGTGTGTGTGTGGGTGTGGAGAGAGTTCTTTCCAGAGGTGTATGTCATAGTCGACTGAAGTACCCCTCAAACACGGGTCCTGCGTGTACCTGTCTCTTGAGCTCTGTTTCACCCATTTCTGAGGGCACTTCAGAGACCTTTGAGACTCCAGGACTGCAGCTACTTTCTCCCTCTGTCGACCCACATGATGTGTGGATGGTTGGCCGTTTGGCCAACACAGATTCTAGATGATTTGGGTGTAAAGCAAGTAAGGAGAACTTGATTTCTTGCTTCTTGAGGTCTATGGGCCAGCGGCCAGGGTCTTCAAATTATACAATCAAATCTACAAGTAAAACAAAGAATCACGTTCAAGCGCCAACGTAATTTCCCATACATCAAAAGCGTTTCATCTCCCTGTCCATGTGAAAGAAAGCCCTTCCAGGCATCCCTCGCCAGAAAGCGTAGCTCGTCCGCGCCCATGGCGTCGCGTGCCTGGAAACGGAAATCACAAGAAGATGGGACACCAAGGAGCTGCAAAGCATTTTCGGAACTCTAGCATTGTTGCGACAACCGGTCTCTCAGTGGGCTATTTCGAGTCTCACGACCAAAGCTCGAAGTTCGAAAGCAAGCAATAAGTTAGAAGTTCGGGCTGCAAATGTCTTTAAAATGAGTTCTGGGCTGCCCTCGTCGAATCCAACTGACTCGTGAATCACCGTGCTTTTGGGGGGAGGTTCAACAGACTGTCATCGAAGGAACGAGCTATACTGTTGTGGAGGAAACCATCAACGAACCTCTTCATTGCTTCAGGTTGATTCACTCCAGGATGGACTCTATCATTCTCTATCAAACTTCATTTTACGCTATCATGCGCACCCACTCACTATGTCTCACCCTCCTGACATCTCCTCATATCACTCGTTCAACGAAGCGTTTCCGCATGTTTCCGCGCTTGTTGCTGCCTCCTGGGACTCAGCCAACTCTCTCAGGACTGGCTTCACGACGGCAGGGAGAGCATCCGACAAGCGCGTCTCCTGGTATGCCCCACTGTGGGTCCGGATTGGGTGGTTGTTCCCCTGCTACAACCAATGGTGTTGAAAGGAGAACATGTCAAATCTCCGTTCCACGAGATAACTTGAGGATACTTGAGGTACAGTTGGACAGGCTCTTGACCCAAACTGCAACTTCATGTGCGGAGATGCTCGACACTAAACGTGCGTTTGCAGCCACTCCGTATCTGCCAGCGCAGTTCCAATCAGCGCAGCCTTCATGCCTCTCAATCGAAAGCAACACCCCGTTCAGATTTCAACAACTGGGACTAGGAGCAAGATCTTCTCAAGATTACGTGTCCAAACCAGTTCTCTGTCCAAATGGATTCTCGTCTCCAAACGAGTATGGCCCGGCCCTAGAACCCCGCCTTCCAGTTCCCAGCGCCTCTCAACCAGGCCATCAGCCACCGCATCGTAGAAAGCACGATACTGAAGGAAAAACGTCGAGAAAGCGGCGTTTTGTGTGTGAGAAGTTTTTGTCATTTCATCTGAAGAAGGGTCAGATGTCCAAGCAAGCACACTTCACTGCGAAAGAACACTCCAAAGCTATGAAGCTTTCACATCAAGAGCTTGAAAGTCTGTCCTCGGGCATCTGTGGAGACAGTTTGGAGAATGCATAGAAGGCCGTCGTCACCTGGCTTAGGTGGCCGGAATGCTCTGGAGGCACAATGTAGGCTCGAGTAAACAAGTTTTTTTCACATCATGCAATGATTCCAGGACCAATTACAGTGCATTATTATACTACAATAAATATTATTATAAGACAGACTGTAGTTGGATCAGTAACGCCAGAACTTGCACACGTGACAGCTTCAAGGCTTAGCACCTATTTGGGCTTTTGCATACAAACCTGCCATGGTCGTTCAGGCGCACCTCCTTGGCGTTCAAATTTCGAGCCATATCGGAGAGGCCCGTTTTTTCGGCTCCTGCCATCACATCAAACATCCCAATAGCCTGCATGCACAATGACACATTTGTATTTGCTTTGTTGAACAGAATATGGTCTGGTAGCCTGATGAGATGAGGTCATTGTACACAGGTTTGCAACATATCAGTACAAACATCGCTAGTAGGTTGGAGGCCATCGCTCTTAGGTTGCGGTTGGAGGGCATCGCTCTAGATCTTAGGTTGGAGGCCGTCACTATTAGGTTCCCTAGAATCTTGTTCGGGTCGACAGTCTCCAATCTTTCGGCAGATCAGCGGTCAGCGGCCTTCTTCCGAGCGGCGCAAGCGTCGACCAATCTGGCACAAGAAAACGCGTTCGACAAAAATCCTTGGAGCCCTCACGATTTCCCCACAAGGCCTGAGCTAGAAGAAGAGTTTCACGCAGCCATGTCTGTGGCTCTCTGACTTATGATCCTTCAATGGTGCTGGAAATGTAATCTGTCTACCTTGCATTAATAGCATCACTCACTCCACTCAGCGCACCCAGAGTGAACCATGAATTGGAACAAGAAAATGCAACCATCTTTTCTCCACCCAATTTAAGGTGAAGAAACAATGCTCCTCTGAAAGATGGCTGGTTTTCATAAAGTACAACTTCCGCATCTTCAGCATCGCAGCTCAAAAGCATGAATTCTTAGCTCAAATCGTCTGTTCCTCTGTCACGTCGAGTGCGAAGGAAAAGGTGCTGCATTTGGATGGTTCCTTTTGGTCCAGCCGTCCCGGTTCTCCCAAGTGACACGGGTTCTCCTTATCTCCAGAGGCGGCCTCTGCAGCCACTTCAGCAGCGACAGGACCAACGACCCGTCCACGCCTGGTTAGCACAACTGTGGGGATCAGCTAGATGCACTTAGATTGGATTGTATTTTTTTAAATGTACCAATGATTAAAATTAATGTCGAATTGATTGTAATTCTATGTGATTTTTTTGGTATTGTATGATGCATGTATGATAACATGGTCTTGCGCAGCACCAACAGAGTCTACTGATGACCCACCTGGCACTTCGGTCCATATCGATGGAGGTCAACATCGGTGGAGTCCCACGGAAACACTTTCTTCACTAAGACTCCAACATCCCTCCGACTCACCACCTGTTGGAAATAGACAACCACCTGTTTGTATTCGGAAGATGGTCTTCACAGGGGCACCATCCACGTTGGCCCATGCGTTTGAGTGTGGACCATCGTTGTCACCAGCTATCACCGCTCAGAATCCGCTGCGTTCGTCGCTGCGCTGAGCCCAGCACTGACCAAAGTGACTCGCACAATCGATCAGCTGGGCAAGGCCAAAGTAGGGCAAAGCCTCCGCTGGTTTCAGCGGCGCGGCGGCACTTGATGCGGTTTTATCCAAGCATCTACGGCTTTGATCTATTTTGCTTCAAGAACAAATCAAACAAAACCATCAAGCTGCCAGTTGCTTTCCCAGATTTGCCTCTTAAGCTGTTGCAGAACCGAGTAGAAAACACTAAGCTGTCATGGGATACCTACACTGCCTAGTTATCCTCAGAGATCAAGTTCTATTCTGTGGTTAGTTGATGTTCTGCGCCAAAATTCCTAGTAACGGTTTGCTGGATACTTTGCTGATGGCCTGTAGGCTGCCAATCAGCAGTTTTTTTGGATCAATGGTTGTCAACTGTAACTGTAGGCTGCTGACCTACAGCCTTGCAAACACATGTTTGCAAATCATTATGCTGGTTATGCATGTTCGATGAACTATGGCTTGCGAGCCTGCAGCGTGAGAGAAACAATGTTCTAGTAAGCAGTTGTATGCTTTTGTAGGCTGCCAGTCAGAAGAGTTGGTTGATGGTTGTCATCTCTGGGTTGCCAACCCACAGCCTTGCAAATCTATTTCACATTTCATTATGCTTATGATGCGTTGAATGAATTGTTGATTGTGAGCCTGAAGAGTCAACGTGCTAATGATCAACAACTGATTGCATGTCTGTAGACTGGCAGTCAGCAAAGGTGAGTTTTGGTACACCGAAACGACCAGGCTGTGAAGTAAAGTGAGAGGCGTTATCAGCAGCGCACAGCTCATGATGCTTATAATGCATTTGCGATGAACTGTCATTGCAAACCTACAGCGTCAAAGGACCAAATTCCTGCTGATCAATTATCGATTGCATGTTTTATTGATGTACTGAGTGTTGCGAGTCAGAAGAGTTGGTTGATGGTGGTCACCTGTAGGTTGCCAACCCACAGCGTTGCAAAACAATTTCACATTTCATGATGCTTATGACTTATGATGCATCGTTGATGCCTTGTCAGCGCAAAAGCTTGTCAAACAACCTGGGCTTTGGGATACCTAACGATCGTTTTGACGGGCAAGCGGCAGTGGTGCAATCCATAATCCATGCACCTCACCGCTTCTCCTCTATTGTGCCTCCACGCACAGTATGGTGTAGCTGGTATTGGAGCATGTTTCTCTGATCTCACCCAGCTTCGCTCACCCAGCTTGGGATGCTCTGTGACCCTAAAAAGACAACTAGTCGAATCTCTTCCATGATGCAAACCGTTCCCTCTTGTCGACCATCGACATGCAAACCACGTCAGGTGTATCGTCCCGTCTTCGAGTCCAACGACCACCATGAGACCGTTGTTCCAACGGTTTGAACCACCAAAGAGTCAATGGTTGTTGACATGGGCAAACAACCACCTTCCATCACTTTGTGGAAACACACAAGTTAACGGTAAGTTCATGGAGTTCAATGGTAAATCACTTCCATGGGCTCTTTGTCACCACGCATCATGACCAAGTGCTGCAAGTTGTCCGCACGACGACTCTCCTTTGCACGACTCTCCAGTTGGTGATTTTGTCTTGAGGAAGAGGCAAGTGCCAAGCACAAATTCTTAAATTAAAGGAAAGCACCAAGCCATCCAACGAGGAGGCCGCAGACCGCTGCAAAGATTGGGCAAGAAAATGTCGATGCAACACGTTCCATCGTAGGATGATTGAATCAATCCTCTTCTTCTTGTTCTTCCAATCAAAGGCTCAACAGTTGAAAACCTATTCCACAAGGATGCCTGCGCTGTGGCTGCAGGCTGAGCTTCCTGAAATCTGACAACTTCCTGATCCCAAAAGCTGCTCTTGCTGGCAACTTTCAATCTTGTCACCTTTGAGCCACTGACTGCCGAAGCCAAACATGTTCAATGCATCAGCGCCGTCCGAAAAGGAGACAACACAGAGCCCAATGGCAACAGGCGGAACAATTCGAAATTCAGAATCAGGATTACTCGCTGAATCACCCACTGATTGCGGCCTCCACCAGGGATGTCATCTCAACACCTGCGAGAGTTGGGTCAGAACGTGCAAGACATCCCATGAGAACCATGTGGATTTGACAGTCTAAGCGAAGGGTCTCGAGAGGTGTGAGGTCTCATAGGGACAGTCTGGCTTCAGTTGTGCAAATTGGTCATTGAGATGTACAAAAGGTCTTCCGATTGCTCACCGCTCACAGGATGGGCGTCCTGGAGGGTCTTTGGGAATCTGTGAATCTGTGACTGACACATCCTCGCCTGCGCCAGCGGGCGTGCTTTGCTGTAAGCTGCGGAGGACATTGACAGCCTCAAGGAGAACAAGTGGGGCAATTGAAGTGAGCACAGAGTTTTGACGCAAAGCTCTGGAAGCTTATTGCCTCAGATTCGAGACATGGTCGCTAAATAGTGGATCAAGAAGGTTTTCTTGAGACCTGTTGTTGGTATCTACAAAACACCTCCTGCTGGGACAAGACTAGGACAGTCATTCAGCAGAATGATTTGGTTCGGTTTTGAGCACATTGGTCAGCCCCTTTGACAGCAAACATTTAAACACCATCTCATTGCTAGAGAGTTTGCCGACAAACCAAGTCAAAAGAAATCTGGATCCCCACTATGCGTCGCACTGTGTTTGCTTTTTCATTGGGGTGCATGCAACAAGGGTGGCCTGTTGGTCTGACTGTGAATGCATGGACTGGCCTGCCTTTTGCTGAGCTTCCCCAAAATAGAATGATGTGTTTCACTGATTTGCACATCACTGATTTGCACATGCGCCAGAATTGCAGCATGTTGAAACAAAGGGTTCGCTATGTGCACTGTTCATCTCAATGGGTTTTCCATGGTTTTTCAAAGGCCCTACATATCCAAGCCTGTTCCACCGGAGAGAGAACAACGGAACAGTGCCCGCCTTCCGCGCTGCCCGGGCTCCAGCAGCCCCAGCCTGCCTGGCAGGGAGCCTTGGAGTGCACCAAAAGCTTTGCAGAAGAGGTTCTGCCGTCCTACTGAGCGATGGACGACATGAGGAGCTCAAAGGCGCCTGCCGTTGCAAGAGAGTTTTGGAGTGTTTAGCAGATTCTACTAGGGTATTACTAGGGTGGAGGCCATTGCTACGAGGGTGGAGGCCATCGCTATTGGTGAGACTCTCAGGGGCGCCGGAGTAAGACTCTCAGCTTCCACCAGGGGTGGCCTACCTCAATCACCCCACCATCATGACGGCCCTCCATAACGCCGTTGATCCCTTGCACAGCGGGCCTGATCAGCTCGCAGAACCAGTTGCTGAGGTTGCTGGCCTCTGAGGCTGAGCAGCTCACCAGCTACACTTGTGTCCGGCGTCAAGCAACATTGGAGATTAGGAAAAAAAACAGGGGAAACATGGGACACCCACGGAGACGATGGTGGAAAACAGAAACTCTGGCTTTTCATGGCTTTGGGGTTCTGGACTTGCCCCAATTCCAACTACCAATCAGCCAATTGATAGGGGTGTGATATCTTCGCATCAGCATGTTGGACAAACAGGGGCCCCCCAGGCAAACATCAGGTCAATTGCTTACAAATGGCAGGCGCAGCAGTGTGCCCGAAATCCTTCTTCCAGTTTGAAGATGATTGAAGAGTCTAAAAGTTCCTGGCTACCTTAGGTGATACTGGGCCTTGTCGCAACCCGCAAGCATCAAAGACTTCAATCCATTCCTCTTCTTGTCGCGTCGTAACCCATTCTGACCCCTCACCGTCTTTTCTTTGCACAGCAGCTACTATACGGTATCGGTATGAGTTGTCTTTTCAAACCATAACCCGCCTGTCGGAGTTCACAGCGGAGCCGAGTTCGGGCCTACCCCTTCCTTCCACTCTCTACATGATTGGTCAAGCATGAACGTCAAACAAAATGCTTTGCCACTGAACCGAACCACCACAGAATCCAATCAACATCAACCGAACATCAACCAGCCAGGTTGGCTCCTAGTTCGGCCGGTTCGCAGGGTTGGAAGTTGTTCCTGAGGCCACAACTGCACAGCACAGCCCAATCTGCTCCCATCTTGGCTTCTCATCCCGAGCCAGTCGTAGCCCTTAGGAGAACCCCCGGGACGCGCGCCCCGCCAGTCGCGCGCCCCACCAGTCGTCGCTTGTTGGCTCTGCTCCCGCTGTTCAGTCCGCTGAGTCGACGACCCTCGAAGAAGCAGGGAGGAGACGAGCAGCGGAGACGGAGACGTACGCAGCCCAAGTGGTTGCGGCGAGGGATGAGGTGCGCCATCAATCAAATGGCAAATCCAAAGTAAGTTGGCGTCTTTACATCAATTCCCTCGACTCACCAAAAAGAATCCAACCATGTTTGTTAGCTAGAGATTCATGTCATCAACTGCACACCAAAGCAAATCAATCATGGAAGTTATTGAACAACAGACTGCTACAGACTGCAAGACAATATGTTCATTTTCACAAGGCTTCGCCAGTCGGACTGCTCTTCTTCTTGAGACAAAGGTAGTATCTTTCGTCCTTGGAAGGCTGAACCCATTGGAGCAAAATGAGAAACATTATTCTATGCTGCAAATCAATGATCTGCTATGCTTGCTGCCATCCCGACACACCTGGCCCCGGTGGCTACAGAGTTGGAGAAGAAAACAACAACAGCTCCTCAAGCCAAGCTTCTGCTCCAGCATCATCTCTGGAGCCTTTCTCGCTTTCCTTCAAACGTTGGAAGTAGCTTCCGCCCCCAGCGCCACCACCCTTGGTGCGGTACACTGCTCCACAGACCTCCAATGGTGGAGCTTCGTTCCGCAGGCTGATGCCAGATTTGGGGCCCGAGACCCGGCCAGCTTTTCCAGCCCTACCTGTGTCAGTGCTAGTCGCGTCATCCACAAATGCTCAGAGCCATAGAAAAGGCACAAAGCCATGAGCAACACGTGATTTGGACTGTTGTAGCGACATGTAAACCTCCCTGCAAACCGAATATATTTCCGTTATATAATTATACAATTATCATATATCTCCTGTCTTATGTCCTGACCCTTTCGGAATTCTCGGGCCTCTGAGAGCATCTTGAAAGAGATTGCTCAAAGGCTGCGAAGCAAAGGCCTGATTGAACATGTTGCAAGCGACCGAGTGCTGTGCAAGTACAAGGCAAACAAATGAACAAGAAAGTTTGCTTCCTCATGCTAGGCGCATTCAATAGCCACTCGCCATATGGCAGGCTGTCGGTGCAAATGGTGAGAACTCCCTGACGAAGCAACGAGACTCGTTGAAAGGTGGACTGCGAACTGGTGCACTCGACTCTCATACTATTACCGACGAACATTCAGCCAAAGCTGGAGAAAACACACAGCAGTTGGAACTAGGTTGGTTTCGGGATGGGTTTGTTTGGCGGAAGTATTATATCACAAACAAATGAACTCAAGTGGATGAGCCCAGAATAAACAACAAAGCATTGCCTGTGGCTCTTAACTGATCTCAACTACTTCTGTTTGCATGCTTCGCACCAAACGAAGCTTAACCAACTTGCAGGACTTGATCCTGACCCACATGTTCCGAGCGGGAACACCTGGTTAGATTTCAGCATGAAAGGACTTTGAAAACCTCAGCAAATCGAGCCAATTTAGCGCGAACAACCAAATTGGTGCTTAAAAAGTTGTGGGTAAATATAGTTTGTGGATTTTTCGGACAGTTTTAGGATTTTGCTGGGTGTGTTTTAGAAGCAGAAGCGGTAGCAGTAAGACAAATAACAGGAGCAAGAGACTCTGACCGAAAGGGAGGAGGAGAGGGGAGGAGGAGAGAACTTCTTATTTATATAGAGCTTTTTTAGGCCTTGCTTACTTGCTTGCTTGGTGAGAGGAGTGAGGAGAGATAGGGGTGACTCAGGTAGAGTGGTTCCTTGCTCGCAAGACTCCGAGTGCATGGCTCCTTCCTTCCGTAAATTCTACCCTGGCTAACCAAGAGTCTGCTGCATTGGAATGACCCCTTCCTCCGCAAACCCTCGGGGGGGCTCACACAACTCACCGAACATAACAGTTCTTTCCACCAAACGTGATCAAATAGCGACCAGCAGCAGAAGCAAAACATACGCAGGACAAGCAAAACCAAAGCAGGCAAAGGCAAAAGAAGAAACAAAGACTGCAAAAGCAGAGGCAGGAGCAAAACACTGGTGAACAAAAACAAACATGTCTCGGGGAAAACACATACACCAGAACATCTGTTTTCTAATGTCATGTATCAAGTTCAGATGTTATATAAGTCTTTCCGCCTTGCAACGGATATCAAAACAAACAAACCTCTCCACAGTGACTAACTCTTGAAAACGGGTGCACCTCCTCTTGTAGAACCGCAGCACAAGCATTTTGGAGAAAGCGCTGCGTCAGAAGATGAGTCGCTTCGCCAGACGAGGACGAGGACGTCGGGTCTGTCGGGTCGACGGAGAGGCTCGCCGTCGCTCGATCCAAATCCGTCTGATGAGGTGGCTCCTTTGGAGTGCAGTGCTCTGTCATCGCATGTCATGTTTCAGCACTGCAGGTGTGGCACACAGCTGTTGGATTCAATCTTGCAAAGTTCTGACATCACACATGAAACGTTCAGATCTGTGTTCCAATCTTTTGCACCATCTCAAAAATTGCTTTCCCTAAAAAGTCTTACAGAAAAAATGAATCCATGAGCTATTTGCAATCTTCTGCAACCAAATGATCTGCACATCCAAGGCTCCGGGTGATTGATGAAGATATTGGAGCAACAGCCTCGCAACTAGCAAACCTCTACCAAGTCCCACGATAAGCCAATGTCTTAGCAGAATAGTACGGTACGATACGGTACGTACCGTTTGGGGCAGCAATGTATCTATCAATCGATCGTGAATATCATTCCCTCTTGGGCTCTTGTCAGACTTTGAACAAGATGCACTCTTGCGCTCTTGGCTATCCAGTCTATAGAGGAAACAGAAGAGATCTGGGTAGGCTACTCGTAGGTTCAACCACCCCATCGGTCTGCCCCCTCAAAGGCCAGGCCTTTCTTCAAATGGTTCTCCAAGGCGTTCTGCGCATCTCCCACGATGAGACCCACGTTCTCCGCCAACCCTCGCAGGGCAAAGCGTTGAAAACACCGCGCAGAGCGGTCGAAGCGCAACTCGCAGGCCATCCAATTGGTATTCGCATCTCGAAGGGCCTGGTCATCAAAAAGGTTAGAGAAGGTGACACAAGACTCGTCGATTCTGCGATGAATCTGGCAGCCATGGTTGCAATGCAAACTGAAACAGGCGATAGTTACACAACACACTGTCAACACACTGTCTAACATTTCGCCGTTCGCATCTGAAGGCACTGATAGAAGCCCGTCTTACCCATCCATGATTATCTGCCTGTGAAGAGAGCCATTCCCCTGAGCCGCTGCAGATCTCCAAATGCAGACTTCCAGAGCTCCGGCTTCCCGAAAAGAGCCGGCGAGGATCGAACCTGCCCAGCGCGGCAGTAGCGGGGTCATGCAGGTCGGTGGGTCTCTCGGATGTTCTCTGGTCTATCCTGATGCTTTTTTACAGTAAGCTAAAATCCTTTTTTATATGATGTCAACCTAAAAGTATCATCCTCCTTCCCTACTGTTAATCTTTTTTTGGATGCATATCATCAGGCCCAATCATACAAAACAACGATTTCTTGAATCCTCTCATATCCTCTCGGCCATTCAGATGGGGGAGTTTTCAGAAATACTTCGACCATCTGCGATCCGTCCACACCAACTGCACCAGCAGTGAAAAAGAGCCAGCCTCTGAGTGCCATTGTTTGGCTTCCCCTGGTGATCCTTCTTTCGCTTTTTCTTGGGCGGCTCGAAGACGGACTGAAAGTGTTGCCTGAAGCCATTCAAGCATGGCCTATGAAAAACGGACAAAAAAACAACGCCTGGCCTAATCGAACAACACTCGTTGAGTGGACTCAACCAAGAAACAAGTAGACAAAACTCTTCAACCCCTGGCCTAAAGAGAAAAACACATTGCAAATACAATCAAATCAAAGAGAGAGATATTCAAGGCAAATGAGGGTGACAGGACGTTCTCCGCCATGGAGCTCCCACTCTCCAGCCCAAATTTGTGGCAAAGCCTCCGGCACATCTTGCTTGCTGAGGAGTCGCTCTCCTCATTGCCGGTGTCACCGTAATCCTCAAAGCACAAGGTCCTCAGGGGGTGTTCTTCCAGCAGTGAAGGTTCAGCAGCGGCCATGATTGAATCTCAAGAATTCAAAGATGTGAAGATTCAACGATGGTCTCCTTTCAATGTGAAGAGTTGAACGATTTTGAATGGTCAGCGCAACAACCTGACCCTGGTGACAGTACTGAACGAACGCCGCGTCCTCACGTACAACTTCCCCAAATCAATGCCAGAACGGAGCGAATTCTTTGTCGCCTCTGCCTTCCGTTTTTTTCTTGGAGCTCTCTGATGGCACTTGGTGTGAAGCCATGAACTCCTCGACCTCTTTGAGGTCCGAAAGGATTTCACCTTACTGCAGGATCATGAGTCCATGAGTACATGGTGCAAGCACATCCAACCATAAAATCCGTGACTCCTGTTCATAAATCTGTTCATACCGAAGATTCCACTCAGGACACTTCAGGAATGGCTACTGAACATGTGTCCTTTTCTCTTGTGTCATGTTGTGTCATCTTGGCATCAACACCTGCTTGGACAAACCTGGTCTTCACACACGAAACTGTTTCATCCTTGTAGTTCTCTCACTCGAAACTTCTCCCAGGGACGTTGTCGGTGGCTTTGAAAGACCTCCAAGCTCTTGGCCCGTGCAGCTTTCCGATCCGCCACCGAGGCATCGTGCTCCTCGTCGCGGTTCCACTTCTGCGTGCCTCGCTTGCCTCCACTGCCTGCGACGCCTGCGCGACACACGAGGTGCGTGGGACGAGTTGCGGATCCCGACTTCTGAGACCCCAAACTCTCAGTACGAAGGAAGATCACGCTTGTAAATGAGTGGTATGGTAATTGGTGATGTGGGAGTGTATGGTGGGGTATGGTAGTGTGCACACTGTTTTGGGAATTATGTACAGTAATACAAGGGGGGCTATGATACAACCATGAAAGGTGTAAAAAGAAATACATAAAGAAAGCACCAAGTCGGCAGGCGTTTGACTTGGTGCATGAACGAACATCGCAGCTGAGCAGCTGGAGAGCTTTGCTTCAGAAAAGTCTGCTTCCTCAGAAAGGATCTTTCGCGCACGTTTCAAGTTGAGTGCAGTCGCATCTTCGTTGCCGCAAATGATGGCAGCACGTGCGATGGAAGCAAACATAGCGGCGGAGCCGGGACTGGCGCCCAATTCTTTGATGCCTTGAAGAGCTATCCGACGGGCATCTGTGTACCTTGGCCATATCAATCATACCAAGGACTCCGAAGTCACGCCATGGGAATGCAATGGTTCGGTAATACCTAAGGAACAATCTGAAGTCCCGCAGCATCTACTAGTATCAGTCCATAAAGTCCGCCACTTGAAGTCACTTCGGGAAAGAATGATGGTGACAGTGAAAGTATGACTTTCTGCAAAGTGAAGCAGACCGCAAGGCTTGGCAAAGCAGTGATACCACAAGCTCGTAGGTCGAAGCATCCGGCTTTCCGCCATGGGTCTTATACCACTCCTCTTGGGCTGCCCAAACGGTGGTCATCCTTTCCAGTAAGGCTTCAGCATCATGGACTGAGCCCAAGATCAAACAGCCACGAAGAAAGGTGTTGGCAGTTCTCACGTTGGGCCTTGAGGCCAAAACCTTCTCCTTCTCCATCCGTTGCAACAGCTCCCGGGCTTTGCCCAGATCTCGCGCACATTCCACATATCCGCGAATCATGGACGTTCCTCCGCAGGTCTTCTCAATGGACAGTCCGTCGACCCTTGGGACCTTTTCGGAATGGTCAGGGTCTTCCCCCTACCTCTTTCCATTCTGAACTAATCAGCGGGGGCTGACCCAAACCATAGATTTGGTCCAGTCCAATCCTCATCTGATCCAACCACTGTCTACAACATCAATGGTCAATATAACATGGTCCTCCATCACTACATGATTCTCAAATGTGAGTGTGAATGGTTGCGCGACGCAACGGAATACAAACATGGAAAGTGCCGAATCAATGAAGAGGCTCTTGTAATCAAACCAGAAGCAGCGCCAGCCCCACGATTGAAGAGGCCAGCTTTCTCTGCTCGTGCCAAAGCTTCCTCAGCTGAACGCCAATCCCCACAGCGACATAGCGCATGAACCGCAGCCGCATAGGTATGTCCATTGGCCCAACCCTTGGACTCCAGCGTTTCCAACGTGGCACGGGTCGCGGCCAAATCCTTGGCCTGGGCGTGGGAAGCGATTTGCCGGTTGAGAGCCACCAACTCCTCCCGGACCACGGGCACGAGTTGCTTGTAGCGGCTCCTCAGAATAGCCCGTCTTTATGGCTTTTGCATGGGCAGGCCCGCAGAAAAGAAGGGTAGTAGTTAGTAGGTAGGTAGATGTCCGCAATCTTAGGTAGATGTCCCACCACTTTGAGTTTTGAGGTGTTTTAAGAAGACTGTGCTTTCAAATCAACGCCAGCAAGACTGGCCAGCCAGTCTTCAGTCGCTGTTGGGACAAAACACAAAGCACATCTTGGACGCAGGACGCAAACAAAACACACAAACGTGGACAGCAAAATGGTTTTAAAACATGTTTCGTCACCAAGGAACTCTTTTCCATCCTTCCCCTTTCCCACTTTTCCTTTCCCCTTTCCATCACCTGGGCAGTGTCCATGAATCTGATAGCTCCCATTCATCCAAGTACATTTGCAAATCAACAAACCATAAAACCCAACCAACCCAACCGACCCAGAGATTGGGCAACTATATACTATATATATATTATACAATATATATATACATTATATATTTTTCTATCTATTATTTATATATATATATATATATGTTATATATTATATATACATCGTATTGCCAGTTAAAAGTGGATGATGATGATGATGACAACGACGATGATGATCTGTAAAGGCCTTGCTCTTAAAATAGTAACAATAGTTCAGCGACTGTTACAGGTAATACCCAACCAACAGATGCTATACTCTTTCTTTCAACCCTGCTCACTTTCAGCCCTGCTCACCTCCCTTCTTCCTCGTGCTCTTCTCTGCATTGGCAGCTGACCAAGCACCAGGCTCAGCGCGAGCAGCACCAGCACGAGCCGCCTCAGCGTTGCCCGCGAGGAGGCGCTGCTTGGTGGCCATCAACTTGTGCATCAAGCTATCGCTGACCTCAACGAACTGAAACCGAAAGCCCACAGCGAATGCCACAACTTTCCCCAAACCAAACATGCGGCTGAAAGAAAAAGAACAGGGGATCACCAGAGTGCGTATTTTATGTGTTTTTGTTGCCTACTTCCATCTATGTGCTATAAACTTCCCACTGTGGCCTGCATTCATGCTATGTGTCTGTGAAAGCTGCCTCAATGTCCTTTGCACTGGAAAACAAACACAAAAAAACACTTAAAAGACCTTGGGAAAGCCAATTAAAAGCAACAAACACAACAATTATCAGAGACTCTTGGCTGGACCCCCCCCTTTCCTCAAGACTTCCCCAGAATTGTTTTTGTGTTGTTTCTTATTTTTGGTTTTCCCAAGTTTTTTGTGTTTTTTTGGCTTTTCCTAGGTTATTATTGGTGTTCCTATTTAGGTCCATCTGTGTTCTTACTATTTCGCTCAACCTTCAAGTATGCGAGCCTAAGTCTCACCTAAAGGCATATGTTCTTTGCTCTTACAATGAAAGCGTCTGAGCCCACCACTCCCTTTGTCCTTGTCGAAATCTCCATGGACAAGTCTGTGCATTAACTTCTGATTGGTATCAATGTGGTTGCCAATTGCATGCCCAATCAGCTTGACATGAAACTGTAATGATACCTTCCAATTTACATGCAATTGTTATGAAACTGTGTAAGCTGTAGTTCCAATTCAATGTTTGTTGCTTTTGCTTCGGCTTTGTAATTTCGAAGCACCCTCGACTTGTGCATCTTGAAGCTCAAGCGTTTTACATCTTATTCTGGCGAAAGGAAAAGCAGCAACAGAAATCCAATCAGATCCAACTTCCAGCACATGGCCAACACACGTAGTTCTGTCACCGAGCCGGGGCAAGACTGACGAAGCTTGCAGACCACTGAACAGCCCCTTGATCTCAGACCGCAAAGGGTCATTCAACACTCGGTCAGCCAGGCCTAGAGCGGCCTGCAAGTCCATGGCTTCGGAAACCACTTGAATCACACCGCAGAAACAAGTGTCCCAAACCGACAAAGGGTGTGTGCTCTTGGGAAGCACACTGGTTGACACTCCCCACTTCCGTTGAGGGAGTCAAGGAGCCCCCGGGTCCCGTGGACCTGAGCTTTCAGGCTTTGGGCCTTGCAGCTAGTTATAGTTCAATACAAGTTTAGTTGAAATTCGATTTTAATTCAGCTCTATCTTAGCTCTAACTCAAATCCAATTTGATTCTATTCTAGTTCTAGTCTATTTAGTTTAAGAAAACACATGCTACAAAACCCCGTGTTTTACAATATGTTTTTGCCCTGGGAGTGCTGGGAACAAGACTAATAAAACTCTTTTTGAAGTAAATAGTTAGATTTTGTTTATTTACAGTAATCACTGGAAATAATATAGACATATTATATTAAAGTTGTTTTATGTACAAGCTTCTAATTCAAGAGCTTCCCTCTAAGGGGATAAATCATTTCTACAATAAAAATATATAAAAGCTTTCATTTCAATAGCTTTCCTCTGGATCTCTGGAAATGGTCATGTCAATTTAAACATGCCATATCAATAAACATACGTTTCGTTCAAGAGCTTTCATTTCATGAAAACACATATATAAGGGATATCTACTTTCCCAGAGATCCAGAGGAAAACTTTGAAAATGCAAGCTCTTACCCGCAGAAATCTAGAATAACGTTTCTAACATACAAGGATTCTATATAGTTGTTTAAATCTAAAAACTGATTATCTGCAGAGATCTATGGAGAATCTTTTGTAACATAAAAGCGTATATCTAAAATATGTCCAAATCTAAACATAATTATACGCAGAGATCTAGAGACACTTTTATGGCCTGCTTATTTTCTAACTATTTTGTTCAAAACCATCTGAATGACTGCTTGCTGCTTCCAAAACAATAAAATTACCCTGATTCAGGAATACATAATATATTTGTTCATATAGAGAGAGCAGGAACATATTATATATATATATGTGTTTACACGGAGAGGGGCTACCACTGAAGCATTTACCTAAAATTTTGGGAAAACCAAAACCCAGGCCCCATGCTAGAGTAGAGTGGTATCCTCTGCCCTAGAGTGAAAACAAGCATCTTTGCATATCTTGAGCATCAAATGATACCAAACACTAAAAACACAATAAACACACTGCACTCTCACAGTCCCCCGCTCTCGAAAGAAAGGGGTCGAAACCCTTGCAAAAACCTGGCAAAAAAGGTGTTCAGGTTTAAAGAACATGGACACTTATAACTATAACAAAGAGTCTGTCGTGCTGTTCATCCAGTTTAAATGATCCTTATTCATGGTGATCCACTCCGTCTCTCATTGGGCGAACATCCGAAGCAACGTGTACAACGATTTGATTTCATCGTTGACCTTTGTGAACAAGGACTCTTCACATTTCTGTCTTGGATCCACGCCCGTCAAGGAGTCCCTCTAAAGTGAATGGAGCAAACAATAGAATCTCACAAAAGTGGTGCTCATTCACAAAACGTTTCCCCTTGCGGCCAAAGAACACCAGCCGTACCAATGCCATCTGCACTTAAACTCACTGAAGAAGGTCTTCCACTTAGAGCTTTGTCGCTCTCGCGAACTTTGTGATGGCCTTTGCCACCCTTGCCTTTCTCTTTGGCGCCCTTGCCCTTGTCTTTGCCGCCCTTGCCTTTGTCTTTGCCCTTGCCTTTGCCCTTACTCTTGCGAGGAGGACCAACATTCTTCTCGCTCGGGCTCTTCTTCTTGTTCTTAAACCATCGAGAAAACTTGTCCTTCGAAGACGCAGAGGCCTTCTGTGCACCCATTTGTCAGTGGTCAGCTCACGCCGAAAAGCATGAACATGCTATCAAATGTTGCAAGCATTGAAAGTGAAGGAACCAACCGGTTCATTCTATCAATGATTTTTCTTGCAAAACAATGCCTTCTTGATGAAAGCGTGTTTGTGTGTGTGTTTCTTGCCGTTGTTCCCCTTCTCTCTATCTGCAATCTACCTGCCTATCTACCTATTGACCAGTATGACTGTTTAGCGACCACCCGAACAATTTGTTTGAGCTTGTAAAAACTAGAACAGTCAGTATAGAAAAACCTTTGCCCTATAACTGTTCAGGAGTTTGTCTCACTGCGTCTACTCTGGGTGGACAATGCAAAGTCATCATGTTACATGGCCTCCTTTCTTCTTGCAGAGATGTTCAGAGATTCACGCCATAAACTGAGATATCTCTTTCGTTGAGGAGACCCTCTCTCTCTCATTCTGGTGTTGAACAATGCTAGGAAGTCGCGTCTCCTTTGACTCAATGCGGCTGCTCTTATTAGGTATATAACTATGTATTACAGTATATATCACTGCAATGCAAAGAAAGGCCATGGCTTTGCCTTCGTGCTGACGTTCCAGCTGTACAAAGTGGGTCCAAACTGGGATATCGGGGACTCGTCCAAGTACTCATTCTCTTCTACGCTGTCTTCGGGGAAAAAACACTTGCTGCACATCAAGGACCAACACTCGAATCTAGGCAATTATAGACTATATTATATAATTAGATGATAAATATGTCACAAGAAAGACGTTGAATGCCGCAACAGGTTCTGATGGCAGAACAGCACAATGGATCACGAGTTCTACAACTCGATGCGTATCGACTTCGCATGACTTCACGGCCCCGCCGTCTGTGACACTGCGTGGCATTGCGTGGCACGGACGGCGCATCTTTCCTTCCACTTGCCACGACCGACTTCTGCGGCCGCTTTGGGCAATCAAAATCGGGGGTTCATCCAAACACGTCGGGCGGTCCGGGTAGAATCCGACGATCCGCTGTCGGATCAATGCTTTGGATCATCGGACGTTACACCAACCGGCCCGGCATTGCACTGGCCTGCCGGCGTCCGATACTGACACGAACAGAAGTGAAGCAAAAAGCACACCAAACGATCTGGTAGGACTGTAGGTCTGATTTCTTTAGTCTGGAGTCAGGAATGACATGAAACTCCTCAAAACCAAAGGTACTGCAAGGCTAGCTTGTGCAGCCAATCTTGGCAGCAACACGACGCACCAAGGCAGTTAAGCCCGCGCACCCCCTCAAGTCACACTATTTACGTCTCAATACTAGTTGTTAGTAATATATAATATATAACAGCCATCATATTCCCTCTCAGAAGAGCTCTGCAGAGCGGCACCAAAAGAGCACCTCCCAAAAAAAGCACATCACTGGCTATCTCCCAAACTCGGAGTAACATACTGGATCCAGCGTTGGTTGGGATATGAGTTGCATCCGAAGAGGTAGATTTCGTCGTATCGGTGAAAGACGCCACCGACGTTCCAATCCAAACAAAGACCCGGATCATTCTGCAACTTGATCTGCGCCCTCGTTGTCATCTCAAAGGCTTGAGACTTGCTGGCATCGCACAGGTTCAAGTGCACTTCCTTCTTCCTCATCAACTTGAGCGTGGCATTCCGCGAAAAGATGTTTTTGAATGGATACGCGGTCAGGCAGAACAACCGCCCGAGCAACTCGACAAACATCTGGGCATGACGTTGTGTCTTGGTTGGAAACACGCTTGGAGCTGTCTCGCAATCACCACCCTTCACATTCATCCCATAGTAAGAGAGGCAGCGGTCTTCAACTCTCCCTGGTTTGAATATCAATGATGTCAGCAATGTTCCTCGCTGTAGGATCTGATACCACATCTGGTTGGTCTGACCATTGCATGTGTACATCTGCACATTCCCCTTCTCATGGACGCCAGCAACATCCCAGTCCAAACAAAGGAGGTCGTCAGTCCCCAGTTTGACGATACCGTTGTCCTGCCACTGGAACTGTTGCGCCATGGAACCCGAGTCACAATCCTCCAGCACAACATTCTTGTGCAAGACATCCGTCAAGTTATTGGCCGGAACATCTACAGCTGTCAAGCAGAGTCCGTTCACTATCAAATGAAGTCTATCCGCAGCCGTTGGGATTCCCCAAAGCTGTGTTGATTTGCCATCACAAGCTGCTCCGATGACGTTCTTGATCGGCGAGGCCGTGTCGTAGGTCAAGCAAGCAAAGTTCCACGTGCTTCCGATCTTCCAAAAGGTCTTCAGCTCCATTTAACCCACGCGCGGAGGCCTCCGAGTGGAATCGCATGAGGACGGGTTGTCGCCACAAAAATGGTACTCTCCATCGAGGCAGTAGCCGTATTCAGCCTCCCTTGGCTCTGGGAGGATGACATGAGAAAAGCACTGATAGTCTGGCTTCGCAGCACGTCCTTTGCAAAGGGCGTCATCCTTGAGTTGGACAACGGCGATGTGTCCATGGCTGGCACTTCCTTCTTGCCAAGTTTGGAGCAAGCTGTCTTCCTCACAAGCCTCATCAAAAGCTCGTGAAATCAGGACGAGACGCACAAGGCACGCGGCAGCGATTGCCGCTGCTGGAAGCTTCATGGCACCAAGCGAAGGCTGAAACAACGTTATACAAGTCGTGTCTTTTTCACTGGGCATCATGTCCTTGCATAATTAATCTCTCTAAATCTCTCATGGCCCGAGTGCTTGAAGGCAAAACTGGAAGAGTGGCTGGCCATTAACGAACTGCAATCCAATGTTTCATCATCCTAATTGAAATTCTAAGGTCGTTCTGGCTATTCCATTGTTTATCACTCTCGATCTATATGTTCCATCAAAACTGAAAAAAAAAAACACGAACCACGTCCAACTCTCATCCTTCTGTGGCTCTCTTGAACCAACATGAACCAACCACATGGTAAAGATTGGCTTCTCTCTGTCTCACTCCCTGAAGAAGCAAGAGATGCTCTCAGTGCATCCAGGCCATGCCCATCCAGGCTGTCCTGGATCGGACCGGTGCCGGGAGGAGAGGTAAGGCTGTAAGGCCATGGCCGTGATGGCGATTCACTCAGCGGAGAAAACCCCCCCTGGCCGCCATCGCCATGCTCCAAAAAGGGAATTCTCATGAAGACTTGAATGTGAATGGGAAGATTGAAGTCATCTACTTGAAAGTGTCTTCTTGAAAGGTCATATGACTTCCCTTTCAAGACTTTGAATTGACTTCTCATCTAAGGCCCCTTGTCCGTTCCATCCGAACAGGCCTTAGCTGCGGAAGGCAGACTTGGGGTCCAACCGCCATGTTGGTGAAGACGTTGGGGTCCAAAGAACCTCTGGACGTGGAGTCGATTCCATCCACCCTGGAGTCGATTCACATGGAAACCTGAAAACCACTCATACTGGTCCGGGAACAGGCTGTCATGGTGGGGGTGAACATGGGTCCTTGAACAAGTTAACTTGACCCATAACGGCTCCTATCGCTCCCTTTTGCGATTGCCCAAAACCTGTGGTCCTTTCGCCCGTTTAGCTGCAAGTCGTTCCAGTTCCCGGACTCCCAGAATCTTCCGCAGAACGCCCGCATGACCGGAAGATGCTCCGGTGACCGACAAATCCTTCCTTTCTCCCCCAAAAGGGGTCCGATGAAGGTGAATCGGGAGATTCTGAGATCGATCTGTTTCTGAGAAAGGATCTATTAGATGTGTTGATAGAGGCCCGTGGAGCGAAAAGTGCTGCAAGTTCCCGCAACCCCCCTGATTGGAGCTTGCCAACAAAGCCTAAGGTTCAAGTATCATGTCGATTCCTCTTTGAGTCACCTGATGCAGTATGCATTCCTCTCCAGTTCCTCCCTTGGAAACGCACAACGGCGACGCGCTCAAAAGCTGACACTCGTCAGCTGAGTGGACAGCCTTCATTTCGAAGCAGATTTCGCCCTGCCGAGAAGAAAGCCGAAGTGGTTGCGGCATACAGGACGATGCGTCTTAATCATGAGGCCTTCAGTTCAGTGGTCTCCCTCTTCTTGACCAGTTCGAGGCTGGAATCTCTGGGTTCCGCTCAGGTTCTGGTCCTTTGTGGGCAAATTCTTCAAACCATGCAATTCATCCGAAACTTCCACGCCAAAGATCATGTGGGGAACACTGCGTTACAACGAAACGCCGTGGTTTTCACATCTGCATTGACGTTCCAGCATCGCTGTACAAAGACTTGTACAAAGTTGGCACAAACTGGAGCATCAACACGGGGATGTAGGGTCATAGGTACTCATTGTGTTCTATGATGCCTTCAGGAGAAGATGTTCATCACACGTCCACTGTAGGTTTCAATTTCAAGTCATTTTCAAGAATGCCCATCCCCTCAGTCAGTTGAATTGATCGCATCTGCATTGGAACTGGCAGCACAACTGGCAGCACAACTCGCGCCGCGGAGGATCAACGGTCCAACTGAAAACCGTAGACGTTCAGGTGCCAATCTGCAACCCAAACGACGGCCACATGATCCGAAATTCTTCGCATTCACCAGGTGCTTCGATTGATTTTCTCGTTCCAAGGTCTTGCCCAAATGCATACCACTTGCAGGATATGGCAGATTAAACACATCAGTTAGAATTGACAAAGCAACTGGCTGGTGACAATTCTACCCTCAACCGGGCAGAAATCGCTCCCTTAAACTTGATCTTTGATCAATGCTTGTACTTGAACCCGCGCTGGCTGCCTGGCTCATTTCGTCCATCTCGGCACCGGCACCTTGGCACAGGTCGGCCCGAGGCATGACATCTCCGAGTAACTCCACGTCATCCTCCTTTCAGGACAATTCATCATAATTCTGCGGGTGAAACAAGAAAGGAGGAAAGAATAATATATTAAGTCGATATAGATGTCTATAGTCTATAAATGGTCCATAATTACAAGCCAACAAGTTGCCAAACACATGGCAAAAAATACAAGCGCTAATTCATCCGTGAAAAAGAACGAAAAACGACATCCATTCAGGTCTCTT